GGAGGGAGAGATCAGCCAATGAACTCATATGCATATATGCATAATCCAAGGACACAGACAGTGGGTGGTGAAGGCTTGGGGGGGGGGGAGGGGTGGGAAAGGGTAATGGGGGGAAAAGAGGACATATGTAATATTTTCAACAATAAAGATTTATTTTAAAAAATCAGTGACAGTATTTTGTATTCAAATTTAGTCAATTATAATGCTAAATATTCTCATTTTCATCTATAGAAAATTTTATTTAGAAAACATTTCTAATTTAGTTTCTGAGAAAAATTCCTTCAGTAGTCCAGCATCAAAATTCCTTAAATCCTGAACTTTTCCACTAAATAGTTCTTTCACCTTCTTGCTGTAGTTGACACATGACTGTCCCCTCTAAGGGCCACTTCTGTTCCCTTCAGCCTTCCCAATAGTGGTAGTCTATTTTTCCCCAGAGACCTTACGACATGATTAGCCTTTCAGATGTGGTGTTTTCCTTGTTCCTCATTACCCAGTCATAGGCCATTCTAGCTCCCTCCTTATAAAAGCCTACAGTTTTAAATATGATGTTATAATGACATTCACTAGCCCTCATTGTTGTAGTGATCTTCTAACCCCAGGGTCACTCACCTTCATTCTGGATGGAGTACCTACGACTTCAATGTCACTTTCTTTAATGCTACCATCTTAATTTGTGGTGATTTCAATATTCCTAGAGATAATCCTTAAACTACTTCGGGCTCTTTTTAAATAATCTAGTCCTGCACTCTAACTCAGTCACTCTCTCATGGCCATAACTTGGTTATCACTATTACCAATAACTGCAAATCCTCCATAATCTCAATTTCATTCAACTTTCCGATCATTCTTTCTTATCTCCTATTCAGTTACTCTAGAACCCTGAAACAAAAGTTCTTTGAGTCCATTCAGACCTCCAACCCATTTATTTTACCACCTCTTCTATTTTATTTTGTTTGGTCCTTTACCACTTGATTTCCTCAATGTCACTGTCAATTATAATCACTGCCTGACATAAGTCTTCAATTCCCTTGCCCTTCTCTTGTTGAAGGGAGCTGGAGAAAAACACAAACCACTCTGACTGGTATCACTCTATTCATTACCACATCTCAAAAGAGCCCGTAATGGTGCCTAGCACCTTACTCAATTCCAGTCCTATCACTCCCTCTATTCTTCTACATGATTATTTTGTACTTTCTATTCCCTCCTCCGAGTTCAAAAGTATGTCTGCTCCATCATCACTCACAGTTGATAGTCTTGCTTCTCATTTCATTAAAAAAATTAAATCAATCAGAAAAGATCTACCACAGACTCCCACCAACAAAATTACCTATTTACCAGCCTCTGTACTCAAATATTCTGCCTTACAGTCTGTCACTATGGACAAACCATCTGTATTCTTATCTCAAACTAATCCCTACATTTAAGCAAAAGATCTCAACTTCTGCCTACACAAAAACATATTCCCAATAATTCTTGCTTTTCTTATATCATTAAGTTTTTGTTTCTTTCTTCATTCGCATAAGACAACAAACAAGAATTATTTGTTCTTTATGGGGGGAAAACCCTGTTAACTCTGCTTACCCTTACCCCCACTTCCTTTCATTGCTTCACTCTCTTTATGGGGGGAAAACCCTGTTAACTCTGCTTACCCCTATCCCCATTCTCTGCTTCCTTTCATTGCTTCACTTTGCAGCAAAACTCAAGAGTTGTCTGTTACCCACTACAACAATGTTCTCCCATTGAATTCAATCCACTCAGTCATTTACCCCCACACTTCATCATAACTGTTCTTGCCAGATTGTTAATGACCTCCATGTTGTTAAATGCAATCGTTACTAAATGCATCTTACTTGATTTATCAGTTTTACAGATGAAAGATTACCTTGTCAATGTTTTGCAAAATAATACCAAAACATACAGAAAAGGTATGTCTCTGTATTGTGCTTGTCTCTGTGTTCCAGAAAGAAGAAAGGGTTGGGAGGAGAAGAAAGGACTACCATTTTTTAAAAAACTGCAAGTATTTCAGAATTTTAGGAGCATGGGTACTTAGGAATGAAAAATAAAGGTGACTCATATGATTCATGAGATTCATAAAAGTTTCACAATGAATAATTTGGAACTCTATTTTTTCATTCTTCCAAATAAATAATAATATGTGAGTTTATGTTATTTCATTGTTATTTGAATTTAACTTCTCTTGTATAACCATAGATCTCAATTAGGAAACAATTTTAGATTTTTTAAATTAAGTCCCAAGAATACAGTATTTCAATCCCTCGAAATATCTATGACAAATGGATGCCAAAGTTCTCCTTGTTCACAAAGATGGAGAACTTGACACTTCATAAAGCTGCTCATATTATTTTCAGAGAGCTCTAACTATTAGAAATGGAGTCCTTATTCTAAGCAGAAATCTGATTTAGTATCATCTAAGACTATTGTTCTTCATAAATATATTTGTAATCAGAATAACTCAAGGTCCTCTTGTTCAAATATGAAGACATATAGGGTGTCCCAAAAAAATGTATACACACAATAATTATAAAGGCAGTGTTTATTAAAATACATTTCATTTTCAAAATTAGGCTATCGGCTGTTAAAGTGTATATACATTTGGGGGGAGGTCTCTGTATATCTTCTCTAATACTTTTCTTCGTGAGGGGTTATCTCTAGTTCAGCTGGTCCTCAACAAATATAAAACATGGATAGTGTTTTGCCATCCTTATACTTATTTATGGGTTTAAACAAAAATTTCAAAGAGCCTCACCTTCCTTGTTACTTTTCAATTATTTGCTTCATTTACAGGGTCTTTTTAAAAGACCCTAGCCGGTTTGGCTAAGTGGATAGAGCGTCGGCCTGTGGACTGAAAGGTTCCTGGTTCAATTACGGTCAAGGACACATGCCTGGTTGTGGGCTCGACCCCCAGTAGGGGGCGTGCAGGAGGCAGCCGATCAATGATTCTCATCATTGATGTTTCTATCTCTCTCTCCCTCTCCCTTCCTATCTGAAATCAATAAAATAATAATAATAATAATAATAATAATAATAATAAAAATAAAAGGAGTCTGATACTTTTAAAAAATTGATACCAGTAACATATTTTATAATATTCTTATTCTAAAAGGTAAACACAAAACCAATTAAGACTTACCTGATGGCCCATATAATTCAACTCTATAACTAAATTTCCCGGTTACTGTCATTGGTGGATCACATGAAATTGAAAAGGATTTTCCTGTAATGTTGCCTGTTACACAGTTTTGTGGTGGTCCTTCAGGTACTAAAATAATCACAGGGGAAAATGAATAAATAGCAGAACAGATATATATATTTAAAATTAAAAATTACCTGATTAAATATACATAATAAAATATAAAGTCAAAAATAAAATATCACAATAATATCAAAGTGTTTTCTTAACTTAAGAAAAGGAAAAGTAAAATAAAAATAAAAAAAGAAAAGGAAAAATAGAATAAATTGAATTTGAATAAGACATGCTGGATCATAAGATCAACTTATTTGCAACAATTACTAGTCTTATTTAATGCTGCATCTAAGTTTCATTTCTTTATAGTTCAGTGTAGAGTTACACTGTCCTGCAACATGTATATGTACATATATATTGCATTCATCAGGCCTGTATCTGACTTGATATACACTCAACTCCTGGTAAATACAAGTAAAAGCGTCAAGGAAATAACAACCTTCAGAATCTATTGGCAATGATCTTTATTTTTTGTATCAATATTTGTACTTGGTTCTGAGAGAATATTTATAGCCTATAGTTAGAAGATTCTAATGTAACACTGGTAACATATAAAATTAATAATGACAATTTAGAATAGTCTATTTTTCATAGATGTTTCTACATTTTACCCTTTCTTTAAATTGAAATGAAACGTTTCAATTTTTTTTTCCAAACAAATTTTGTGCCTACTAAATCTCACTTTGGGTGACCCTCATGAATTTGTTTTTATTGTATAAGAAGGAGTAAGGGATATGGAAAAAGAAAATGCTATGATTCGAAGATGGTTATTTAAATTAAAAGAAACTTAAAACTTACATGTAATGAAATGATGAAAACTAACAGCTATGTTACCAGAAAAGAAAATACTATGCTTTAGTGAAATTACTCTACCAGCAATAATTTCCAATAACTTCAAATATTACCAATCAAAACTGAATGTTTGATACTATATATTTAGTATGGAATTATGTCAGTATCTACATAAATTTACATATATATATCCATACTACCATAATCAAATAGATATTTTCATATCTAGAAATAGTATGTGCTTTTTGAATTTAGTAATAGTAATATCTAATTATACTCATTGAATCCTAACACCACTGCCATAAGAAACACACTATTGCAGTCTCCTTTTTTCACATGAGGAAACTGCAGGGCAAATAGGATACTAATATGTATATTTTTAACTACTGTTCTTATTTAATACTGAAATGTTAATTGCATGATATTTATGCTACTGCAGGTGATATCTTCACATTTGGTGGTAGCAGTAGCAGTGAGAGAAGGGTATAGGTCAGTGATGGCGAATCTATGACACGCGTGTCAGAGGTGACACGCGAACTCATTTTTTTGGTTGATTTTTCTTTGTTAAATGGCATTTAAATATATAAAATAAATATCAAAAATATAAGTCTTTGTTTTACTATGGTTGCAAATATCAAAAAATTTCTATATGTGACAGGACACCAGAGTTAAGTTAGGGTTTTTCAAAATGCTGACACGCTGAGCTCAAAAGGTTCGCCATCACTGGTATAGGTGATCATAGAAGATGCAGAAGGGAGGGGATGATTATGAATAAATACTGAGATCACAGAATAAAAGCTGATCTTAGAATCATGGTCATTAGCTCAAGAATCATTTCAAATATTTCTGCTTCTAGATGCTTATGTCAAAAAAGAGAAGTGAAATTGAAGATTCTTCAGGTAAGATTTCTATTATCTGTCATTAGGGGGGAAAGTTATTGGAAGGGAAGAAATATTTTAACAAAAAGATCTGTATAAAAAAAAATGAAAGACCTTTCTATACATAATTTAACTTTTTTCCCACACACACATGAAATAAATTGAAACCATACCTGATTCTGGTGTTCTGACAATTGTACTATCAATATAACCTGCTTCCGTTGTAACAGCAGAAACTTCAAAAAGATATGTCGTATAAGGTCTCAAATGTGTCACTACGAAACTGATAGGTTCTTTCCACACGGAGCTTATCTTACTCCGTGCCCATGTGTTCGATGAATATGTGGTACGCGTTGGAGGCGTACCTCTACTAAGGGTTGGAGAAGGGCTGGTTGTACTCCATAAAAAAGATTCATTATTCTCCTAGGGAATAAAATAAATATCAATGGAAAAATGTGTTGTCTCTTCATAGATTTAAGAAATTTATTTATTTTCCCTTTATACTATAAATATTATTATTAAATTGGTGATATGTGTATGATTGGTTAAGATTTTAACAAATTAGCCTATTCAAGTTATGGAAAAATCTGCTAGATTATACCCTAGAATTATACCCATTTATGCCTACAGTTTTAGAGCATAATATATTGCATTCTTTATACCTTAATCTTTCTTATGAATAGGATTTCAAGTGGCTTAAAGGTAAAACTATAGCAAAATCATTAGTAAGAATTTTTAAAATTCATGTTAAAAGCACAAGAGCCTAAGAGTTGAAATTTTTCCCTGTTTGTGAAATTTCAAATGTTTCTTTCTTACTGTTACTATCATTTTTTTCTCATAAGCATACATAAAGTATATGTTGTGTATGTGAGTAAATGTTCATGTGTGTGTATATGTGTTTGTATATATTAGAATATATCCAAATTCTACAAAGAAGATTTTGAAACTTGTAAAAATTTGAATATTTAAAACAAAATTTTGTTTGGCTGTTTCTCCATCAATATTATCACAAAGAACAACAAAATTACTTTTAGAAGAGCATTATTACAGTACTTCTAGGGATTTCCCATTGGTGACTAGAATAATAACAAATTTTTCAGCAAAGATATGCACAACAAAAATCTACTTTCACAAACTTAACCTTGGCAATGCCTATCCCCTCACTTCCTGCCACATCTTGTTACTAGTGACAGCCTACACTTTCTTACTTCAGAGCTTTATAAAGTATCCTTCACCCAAAGTATGCCTCTCAGACAATCTCCACCAATCCTTTCTCCAATGCCTATCAAAAATGCCAGTCCTGTCAGGAGTCTTTCCTGAGCTCCCTAAGCAATTCTGACATCTCACTCTTGAATTCTCAAACCCTTCATTTATTCTACCTTGAATATAGCCAATTGTGTGTAACATGATACTATGACCTAATACTATAAGAAATCAAATCGCTATACTTTGGCAAAATATATAGTATCCAGATGCAGGAAACTTCAAGATATACATTTATTTAAAATTCTTGAGACATAGAAAGTGTTCCATAATACTTACGTTGCATTCTGGCAATTTCCCAGTCAAAATGTCCTCTACTCTGATTGAGACATCTTTCACCACTATCCCACTTCTGGCATGCTTGACACTAATCTTGAAACTGGTAATTTTGCCATTTGGTTGACGAGGTAAGTACCAAATCAGGTTTACTGCTGAATAGTTAAAGGCCTCAACCGTTAGATTAACCACTTTTCCTGGAGCTGGGGAAGTGAGAGAGATTACAAGGGAGGTAAAAATAATGTTATAAAACTTAGAATGCCAATTATATAATTTTGGGATATTATATTTCCCATGTTATCTGAAACTAAATATATAATACATTGGGGAAGGGGGAATCTACTTGGGTGAGATGTTTTCAAATATATTTAATTAACTTCTGCCTAAAATAAAGAACTAGAAATTAGGCCCATAGTGTTGTGTTTAAGGAGTAGATAAGTTTAACTTCAAGACTATTTGATCAACACATTTACTGATAAACTACTTCAAATACATCTGAAAAATTCAATTAATAGTTGTGAATATACAAAAAAAACACAACAAAAAAAACCTGAAACATGAATCTTTTCTTAAAACATTTTGGAATTATATAGACTCCTTAGGTAATGAAGAAGTGGCAAATTAAAACAAATATTCCACCAATTACACCAAAAAGCATTTCTAGAATATGTCTAAATATCTAGTGTCTAACATAAAGTGAATACCACCCAACTGGTTGTGGTTATTACATTTTGAGTTTCATACACCCTCAAAATTAATTTTCATCAGAATTCATGGTACTTCGGTTTCAATTATTCATAATCTGCAATAATAACAATCTGTATGTTATTTTAATTGGAATGAGAAAAACATAAGGACAGAATGAAAGAAAATTATGCCCATTAATTTCAAGGAAAATTATACAAAACTGACAAAGTAAATAATCAAGATTCTTCAGAATATTGAACAAACATGACAATTCACTATTGAAAGAATAAAAACAAAATAAGACATTTGTGATAAAACATTATAAGTCATAGCAGTGCCTAGTATTAAGAAACCAAATAATAGAATTTAGGTGCACATTGTAGAAAAGAATGACAAAATAGATTTATAAATGAAAGTCACAAAAATTATAAAAAAAAGTTTGGCCTTGGGAGAGAGGTTGTATGTGAATTATATGACAAACAGTATAAAGAAACGTAAGGACAGCGGCATTTTAACAGAAAACAAAATAAATCAATTTGGGGGGATGATTAATCATTAATAATAGATGAAATGATGGATGGAAATTTTTTGTCTCCAAGGGAAACTGATCAATGGATTTAATTAAATCTTATGAATAATAAAGATAATATCTATACTAATAAAAGGGTAATATGCTAATTAGACTGGACATCTTCCAAACGACCTTCTGGATGTCCTTCTGGACAAAGCCATGGTGGTGGGGCCAAGGCAGAGGTGATTAGGGGCTATCAGGCTGGCAGGGGAGAGCAGTTAGGGAGATCAGGTTGGCAGGCAGATGAGCAGTTAAGGGCCAGCAGTCCCGGATTGCGAGAGGATGACCGGCAGTTGGACATCTCCCGAGGGGTCCCAGATTGGAGAGGGTTCAGGCCGGGCTGAGGGCCCCCCCTTCGTGCAGAATTTTGTGCACTAGGCCTCGGGCCTCTAGTCTATATATATAAAAACCTAAGCGACCAACCAACCAGCCGACTGGTCAGTAGCTATGATGCGCACTGACCACCAGGGGGCAGACGATCAATGCAGGAGCTGCTGAGCTGCGGTCACTTGGCAGTGGCAGTTCTCAGGTGATGCACCCAGAACCTGAGAGGAGGGAGCCCAATTCTAGGGTTGTCACCCAAGAACCGTCCTCTCTCAATCCTGGACCCCTCAGGGGATATTGAAGAGCCGGTTTCAGCCCGATCCCCACAGGCGAGGCCGAGGGACCCCACCAGTGCACGAATCCGTGCATCGGGCCTCTAGTAATTACTATATGATACTAAAGACTGAACACTTACATTTCTTTTTAGTGGATAAAATATAATAATGCAAAAGGAACGACTGTTAAATATATAATATGGGTTTTTAAGAATTAAAACATATCTTTTTAAAAAGTGAATATATTTGACATATAACATAGTGTAAATTTAAGGTACACATAGTGTTAACTTGGTATATTTATACATTGTAGTATGATTGCTGTCAGTGATAGTTAGCACTCTATCAAATTGCATGGTTATTGTACCACATTGTTGTCTATATTCATTATACTATACATGACATCTTTATGGCTTATTTACTACTCATTACAAGTGTGTACTTTATTTAAGTGTTTTGTTAATCCTCACCCAGTGACATATTTTCCATGGATTTTTAGAGAGTAGAAGGGGAGGAGAGAGAGAGAGAGAGAGAAAGAAACATCCTATGTGAGAGAGAAACTGCGATTGGTTGCCTCCTACAGATGTCCTGACTAGGTTGGGCATCAAACATACAACCCAGGTACATACCCTTGACCAGGAATTGAATCCAGGACACCCTGGGCAACACTGGCCAGAGCAACAAGTGTGTACTTAAAACAACATCAATCTTATTCCCATACCCCCAAACTCTCTGGTAACCATCAATTTACTCTCTTCATGAATCTTAATCATCCCTTTAAATTTCTTATTTGTGTAAACTATACAAATTTTTATAAGTATTCCTGATATATGTACACACACACATATGTGTATATATGTGTGTAAAATTAACAAGTGTGTCAGACAAGCTGACACATTTCCAAATGGGCCTTAATAACAGTCATAGAGAACTACTCAAGTGTAGAGAAATTTGAATTTATAAGGTAACCAAATTTTTATTAAATTCCAAAGCATGATTTCAGAATATTAAGATAAAAGTTGACCCAAAACATTAAATAGATTTTAAAATTAATTACATAATTCCATCACTTAGACAACATTTAGCGAGAAATAGTATTTTTTTTATTAACTTGCTTTAAATTAAACTTTATCTCAATAAAATATATGTGTGTTTTCCTTTTGTGACTTCATATTGTCTGAAGACTAATTCTAGCTCTTTGAATTGGCAGGTCTTTTTCTATTTTAAATAGTCTAATTTCTACTTCTGAATTTTTATGCATAAAAATCCCATTATTTTGATTTTTATAGGTTAATATATCCATCATGATCTAAGTAGAAAGATTTGATACTGAAGTACCAAAAAATTCTGTTTACAAAGTCATCTCATCTTTCAGATAAGCATCTTCCAACACTTTGAGGCTATATCTAGACCAGTGACATGTGTAAGGACACAAGTGTGTGAAAGTACCTACAATTTTTCCAAGTGTACACTATACAAAACACACATTTATTGAGCCAGAAAACAACTATATAAATGCAATACAGAGGCTTTTAAAAGTATTTTCCTGCACTTTTAAGGATCCACTAAGTTGGGAATGAAGGTGCAAGAGATATTTTTTATATTGTAAAGCCAAAATAAATTATGTTTACCTGAAATAATGCTCCATGGAAGTTAAAAAGTTGGGCTTTTGTGCTAATTGGATGGAACATTAACTCAATAGAGTATAACTGGTTAACTTGTACACGCTTCCTAACAGTACTTTTATTCATGGGGAAAGAAATTACTTCTGATTAAACAATAATAAATGCACAGAAATTTTCCTTAAATGTCGGTTCTATGTAGCATAAATAATAAAAGGGGTTTGGTGGGAAAACTGGAGATCAATGATTGGATTACATTTATATTTACATTACATTTATACCTCTTTACAGTTACCAAAAAAAAGGGGGGAAATATATAGCAAGCAGGATTGTGTAATTATGCAATTTGACCAAGAACACACAGCATATGAGAAACAATGAAACACCAATTCCAAGATTATTTCCACTACATCTTAGAGTTTCTCTAGTTTCTCTCAATCATACTTTGCCGAGAGAGTTAATATCTCTAGAAACTATGTCAGTTAGCAGAAGTATGGAATACATAGAGTTCAAAAATATCAGTGTGGCTGGAGTAGATGGAGGAGGGGAGAATGAAATCTGAGGGAGGAAAGAGCATACAGAGCACTGTAGGCCATGGGAAGGATTTAGGTAGTGGTTCTCAACCTTCCTAATGCGCCCCGTACTCGTATGTGGGCCTATCTGCATGTGGGCGGACCCGCCTGGATACAGATAGAGGAGTGGTGTCTCTGTTCCTAAGACGATTGAAAATATGTGTTTTCCGATGGTCTAAGGCGACCCCTGTGAAAGGGTCGTTCGACCCCCAAAGGGGTCGGGACCCACAGGTTGAGAACCACTGATTTAGGGTCTTGTTCTGAATGATATAGAAGCCATGTTAAGAAGAGAGAAGTAACACAGTCTGGCTTGTTTCAAAAGATGATATAGCTCTTGTAAAGAAAGTAAACTATAGGCAGGTAAATTGGAAACAAGAAAATCAGAAAGAGGACTTTCAATTGTTCATGCAAGAACAGATCATAGATTGCAGTGATTAGCAATAGGAGTGAGATTCAAGATAACATTTTGATGTAGTACTGGCGGGATTTGCTGGTGAGTATACTGTTAGAATCAATAATGACTTCAAGATTTTTCTTCTCTGCCACTAGAATAATAGAGGTGTCTTTAAATTGGTTTGGTAATGACTACATGTTATGGATAATATTATAACTGTTAAAATCCATATTTCTAAAAATTTAATGTCATATACATGCTTATGATGATGTTAACAGAAACATGCAAGATATAAATGTGCATAAATGACACTTTCATTATATGCAGTTATATAGAAATATATAAGGAGAGGAGAGGAGAGGAAGACCAGCCAGAAATGTACCAAAATAATAACAGGATATTTTGTAAAACAGGGCGATGAATAATTTTCATTTCATGTTTTTTATTTTTGTGGGTTGTTTTTTTTTTTAGTTTGTTAAGATAACACTGCTTTTATAATCAGAAATGACAATATATACTTTAATGAATAAATTAACTAAGAAGACTCTAAAATAATTAAATGGTCATACTATTGAAAATTTTATTCATTTTGGCAACAAATTAAGTAACAAAAACTCATAACTAAGTTAATGTAGAAAAAATGCTTTAGGAAAATTACCACTTTCTGCCGTTTGGAAGAGAAATGGGTCACTAAACACTCCAATGCCAGCACTGTTTTCAGCAGCCACCTAGAGGAGATTGAAATAATTATGTTCAAGGGTTTTGCTCTCTAATTAAACAGAATCTGAAATAATAAAACTTTGACTTATTATTTGGCAAATGATAAAGACACTTTTTCTCTCATCCTTACAATACACCCAAAGTGTAAGGCATATACAGGGTTTGTCCATATTTCTATTTCCCCTAAGGATGTATTTAAAGCATAGTTTGATTCAACAAATTTCTCATATTCTAAATGGAAAAATTAATAATCAAGTTTTATAGCCTATGCTAACAATTACCATTTAAAGTGCAACTTCTATTGATAGTCTTTCTGAAATAGTAGTGCATGCAGTAAGCATTAGCTTTGTTTTCTCTAAAACATGTACAAATTAATTATTGATGTTCCTTTGGAAGCGTCTGTGCCTTCTTTTCTGTTGGTTAATCATTTGTTTTTAATCCTTCTTGCCTTCCTCCCCCAAGCTAGGTTTGAATCCAGACCAATATAGATGTCTAATGATGCCTGACAGAGTAGAGTACATGTTTAAGACAACTCTATAATTTGGCAAACACTAGCACAGTAAAAAAAAAAGTCCAAAAAATTTGAAAAACTCCTTAGCAAAATGGAGTAACAGAATTTGACCTTTACCTAACCTTTCTCTTCATATGTGGATATGAACAATTCTGGAGCTTTGTGCATTTAGCAAAGTCTTGAATTGTGCTCTGATTAGTACCTCTTCCACTCAGACAAACGAGATTCTGCTTTTGGTAACTAGTTGTAAAAACATTTAAGATTTCTCAAGAATTTATATCTTACCCTTTCTGCTTGGGTAGAGTTTGGCCTATCCATACATGTCTTAAAATATTTTTGCTGGTATTTAAAGAAATCAAACGTGAAACCAAAGCTTAATTCACTCGCAAAACTAATGTTTTCATTTCCTTTGCTTTCTTGCTCAAAGCCTTGGATTTTCAGTTCACTATGCGATACTTTACAAGTTTTATTGATACAAAAATATCTTGCTTACTCTAGACTTCAGTGTCTAAATGAACATTTTCTCATTGCTTATTGACAAACGTACAAAATTCTGAATATCTTAAAATGGTCATTTAATTGAAATGTATTGTGTACATACTTAATGGTTAAAACTTTACAACCTTATTTATTTTTAAATTTGCTACAATAAGAGGAGTGGAGGGTACCCATGCACAGAGAGACTAAGGATTGACATTCAGGAGAGGGGTGAAAGGAGTAGATCATTGAAAAGACCACCGCTGACTAAATAAGGGAGAAAACAGAGGCATTCAGTTGAATAGGATCCAATCCCTGGTTAACCCCGCACAACAGTAGGGAGGTCAGGATTAGAAGCCACACCTTAGTTTGAGAGCAAGGTCAAAACTGGGTTCTGTTTCTAAAAGGAGAGGGGCACAGATTCACCAAAGATGAGAGAGTTGAGGAGCATGTAGTAGCCAGCATTGGACATAAGCCCAGGTTGACCTACTGTGGAGCACTAGTGACTACAGTACTATCTGTGCCTCTGATGGCAGTCAAATGGACAGATGTCTAGTTGACAATTACTTTTAAAAATTTCTCATTAGGACCAAAGGAAAACAAGATTTGGGTAGACTGACTTAGCTTTTAAACAATAGTAGACTTTGAAGCCAAATTTGTCGCTAAATTTACAGTATGGTAAATGGTGGTCTTTAAATGTATATTGTGTTCTCTTAGTAATTTGTCTGGGTGTTAGCTCTACTCTTAGAAAAGGGCTGCAGTGAATTTCTTGGGAACTTTAAAAATTGAATCTAGGAGTTATAATGATAAATTCAAGGTCTGTGAGCCTTATTAAAGTTTTTAATGAATTGTTTTCCTCTATGTAGTGGTATAGATGAACTATAAGTTCTTTTTGCATCAATGTAGATAATTCCTCAAACACTTCCTGAAGACCTATGCAGAACTCTAGGGTTCTGTGCTGGGTGCTGGGACTCTGATACTAAATCCAGTAGGCGAGCCATGTGGTAACTCAGTGACACACAGTGGCACTTGGAGATGCTTTATGGAGGAGCTGAACTGAGTCTGGACAGAGGTCTTAGCAGGAGGCAGGCAACTGAGACAAAGAAGGAGGCAGGGATGCCTCCGTCTATTCAGGGAATGATTCCACAGTGACGTAGTAAAAACTCAATCGATAGGATTTAGACTTTGCTTAATTTTTCTGTTCTTTGATGTTTCTCTCTTTCTCCCCCCACCCCCAATGTTTTCTTTATCTGTTATAGTGATGCCTTATTTGAAACTGGGCTTAAAAACTGCAAAAGGAGGAAATTGGATCTAGAAAGCCTTTAGGCTCTGTAGTAATTTGGCTTTCTTTTTTTAAATAAAGATTTTGTATGTGTTTGTTTCAGATTAAGTTTATTTAGAAAGTTACAGAGGTAATAGAAATGAGCCAGCGGGGCTGCCTGGGCTCAGGAAACATGTTGCAGAAGCAAAAGAAGGGCCCTTGGAGCTCAGGAGAAAGAAAGGCAAAGGTAACTGCCTGGTGGGGAGAGGGAGGAAGGAAAAGGCTCAGGCATGCTCCCAAGAGGAGAGCTCTGGTAGAAAGGTTTTAGATAATCATAAATGGAATCATTAATTTGAGTGCTAATAACAAGAATGAAAATTATAATGGAACAGGCCAAAATAATATACCAGCTGGTTTGTTATCATAGCCTATTATTAAAGTAAAATTCTATTGAAATACTGTAACTTAAAGGTACATTTTCGTTTTTTAAAAAAATATATTAGTAACTAGGAATGGAGAATTTGGATGTGTGAGTGGTGGAGATTTATTTTTATAAGGTAATTTTTATCCTGACAAGGATTATTTTTTTAAAAGTTTTTTGCACTTTAAATTTTAAAGTAAACATGTTCAATAAGCATTATATTAGATTGTAGGGGGTTTGGTATGTATTTTCTTTTCCTCTTAGTGATGTAAAATAGGAAGGATATATTGAATTATGGAAACTGGAATAATGACACCAAATGCCTTTACTGGAGATAGTATGTTTGTAAGTCTACACTGGAACCAGGCATATAACCTTTCTTTGGACTTGAATTATAACTCTGAAAAAGGCCAAATAATCATAATCTTACTACAAAATACCAGTGACTAAATTTCTAACTGAAGGCTTTTTAGTTGTCAAACAGATAAGCAGCTTAAGCCAGAAAAGATTTTTAACTTCAGTTTTAATAAACTTATTTTAAGAAGTTCTCTTCCCCTGCCACATTCTCCATCCCTAAAGTAATAAGATAATACTTGGAGTGAAACAGCTGTTACCTTTTAATTCAAATCATTTGGGAAATTACTGTTTGAATTCTGATGCTGCCATGATTTCTCAAAAATTAGTGTGAACAAATCAATCTTTATAAAATGCTACCTTTTGTCTCTTTGCAATTTTATACACAAATTAAGACAATAACAGGGTGATAATGAGTTAACTCAAATTCTGAGTCTTGTCACTTCATTAAAAAAGTATACTGCCTTTTTTTTCAATTATTCAAGGCCAATGACTTTTAGGAATATGTTTTATACCACATATATCTTTTTTAATTAAAGCAAGTGCCTTGATGCTATTACACATAAATCATGCTTAATCCTCTATGGCAGTCGGGGGAATGTCCAGCCCAAGGGCCATATAAGGCCTGTGAAATCATTTGGTCTGGCCCTGCCAAAGCATTAAGGGTGAATTAATTAAATATGGCAGACTAATTTTTAAGTTGGTAATTTTGTAGGGCCTGCAAATGATGTTATAAATATCCAAATGGCCCTTGGCAGAATAAAGCTTCCTCACCTCTACTCTATGGAATGAGAATGAGTTATTGATGATTGCAGCCTATTGTAGGAGAGGGGGAGTTGGTTAATAGCAGATTCTTTTTCTCTGGAAGGGTATGTTCATTGTTTACTACATAAGATCCTATATGTGTTATTTCATTTGCTAATAAATTGTTATGCTAATAAAAAAAATAAAAAATAAAGTGCAACTTCTATATACCAGGAAATCTTCAAACAATTTTATAAATCTCATTTTAGCCACATAATCAAAACATGAGGCATTATTGTCAACAATTTATAGATGAGAAAACTAGTTGAGAGAGGTCAGATAACTTGCCTGAAGTCATACAGGCATAAGTAGCAGAACCAAAATCCAGCTAAAATTTGGCTTATTTTTAAAGTTCAACCTCTTTCAACTGTAGTCACTCCATGCAAGATCTACAATTATTTCTGTAACAAATACAAGACCATAGCTATGGTATCTGGCTTTAGAGTTTACAATTTAATCAGGCAAATAAACACTCAGGAAAACAATTTTTAAAATAAGCAGATCTATTTAATCATTTAGACTAAGGATTCTAGAATTTCAGAGATGAAACAGTTCTTTTTGACTTGGATAGCTCGTCAAATAGAACAGGCAGAGAAAGTGTCATGAAAACGGAGCAAGACTCAAGGCCTTCCAAATGCCACACCGGAGTCAGACGATCTTGGTTTCAAGTGCACCTCTACCAATTCCCAGATAAGTAGGTTTGGTCAATTAACTTAACTGTTCTAAGTCACATTTCCCTTTTCTTTAAAATGGCAATAATAACGTATCTATGTCCTAGGATTGTTCTGAGGACTAAACGAAATAGCACATGTGATATACTTAACAGGATTTTTCCATTATCATATAGATTTGATACCTACATTTTGAAGATATCAAATGTAATATGCCAAATACCTTTTGGAATTCTGCAATCGCTAACATTTATCTCCACAGTGTAAAGGACTCAACAATGATTTATAAAGTGTGGGATGAAAAGAATAAGAGAATTCAAAGGAATAAAAACTCAAACTCCATAAAAATAGATCTAAGCAGAGCTAAGTTGGCTAAGTAGCTTCTCATATCACATTAAAATATAAACTCTACTTATCACCTTCAACAGGATATTTTCACATAAATTAATCTGAATATGCACCTGTTTATAGAAAATATCTGTAGTATGTCATTTTCAGATGCAGTTAGGAAAAGGTTTCCCATTCTTTAACCCACTTTTCTGCAATAAAATTGCCATCACAAATGTTTAAATTTGACATTTGTATCAGTAAAAGTTTGTTTTTACTTTTCTCATTTGTGAGATCTCCAATTTTGGTATATGCTCTCCAGTTCTTGTTATGTTTTTTTATTTCCCAAATAGGCAAAATTCCAGTAGGAAAAACCCTCCAGGCAAAATCTCTCCATCATTTCTAACCATTCTAGAAGGTCACCCCAGTTTTGTCTGATCACATATTTATACAGCTCTAACAGATTTTTTCTCAACATTCAATTACCTACAACAATCAAAGAACATTTGATGTTATGTTGAAAGTACAGAAGAACAAGAAAACATCTGTATTCTTTACTACCTCCCTAGAAATATCACAGATATCTCTTAATTGTAAACATTTTCATCTGGCCTAACTAATTTAGGATAGTTTTTCATAGGTTCTTCTTTATTTCATTTTCAAATAAGATGTTAAATTTTGCATATTAAATGTTGTAAAGGATTAAACATTTTTATTAGCACAAATACCCAGTAAATTATCAGGAAATATTGGTGAATGGAGCTGATTTGAATTCATGGTTCTTTGAAAAACTGGCTCATGAGTAACTTCCATTCCATTACCCAAAATTTCAATAACAGACATACAAATACAACAGGGTTCAAAGAAAAATAACAAAGCTAACTTTGATTTTAATTAAAAAGTAGAACATTTTCACTTATAAACCCTAAATTATGTATTTTAAACTTAATTTATTCTTTGAAAAAAATCACTAAGCCAATGCTTTTAAAAATAGATAAATTACATAAATGCACATAAAAATGAAAGAGGATTATAACATTTGTTTGTTTTAAAAGCCCCGGTGGGCACTGAGGTCATGATTCAAATTATCATTCCTCAGGCACTTCTGTGCAGCTGAAAAGGCTTGACCAGATGGGAAAAGCTCCTTCACCTTTAAAATAAGGGAATATTTTAATACTAAGTAATTGTTAAAAAAAAATTATTACCTTGATTTCATATGTTGTTCCAGGATTAAGATTAGTAAGAAGAACTTCCAGGCTGTCTGGCTTTGCTCTAACTTGTGTATATGCTGCTTGCATCCATGGACAAACTTCCTTATACTTCACAACATAAGAGATAATCCTTCCATTTGGATTAGGGGGTGTATTCCAAGACAGGAGAATCCCAGCAGAACCAACTCTTTCTCCTGCTAGGAAGACTGGAGGCCCTGGTTCTATTAAAGCAAAATCATGTTAAATTATTGTATGTTAACAGTCATAGGGAAGAAAAGTATTTGCAAATGTACACTTGTGAAGATGAATAGTCTCTTAAATGTGAATGCATCCTCCCTAGAACCAAGAGAAAAATAAAAAGACTAAGTACTTCGGGAAATACCAAAAACATTCTGTTATAAGAATGTAAAAAATGGAATGCTACTAAATACTACATGCCAAATATACTTTGGATGCCAGATTATTTTCAAAAGAAACTTACTTGTACAGTCTTACACACAAAACTGAGAAAATAAGAAATAGTCTTGCAAACTGAATAATTCTTTCTTAGCAAGTACAGTGAGTTTATTTTCAGGCTCTTTATTATTTAAATATTACCAGTAACAGTCTCTCATCCGTTTCATGAACAGGTATAGAATAGTTACCTTTAGTCTTTGAAAGAAAAGGACACTAAAGAACCAGTAAAATGAAGGTCCTAAACATATCACTTTCTTAAGTTTCCATTTTTGCTTTAATTACCAAACTGCTTTCGTGCATATAAAGCCCATATTGCTAATATAAGTGTTTCCATCCAATAGATTTATACTGGATCCAAATAGAAGCACATACTCACTTGTTACATTCGTTGTCACTGTTCTACTAACAGGTGAGCTGTATGTTGTAGCAGAAATTGAAGAGATTGTCACATCGTACCTAGTGCCAGGAACAGCATTGGAAACATCAACCTAGAACACCAAAAACAAACAATTGCAATAAAACTCTTCCTGGAAAGCAAGAAAGCTAAAATAATGAATCTATCACAGTCAGAACAATAAAGCAACTTCACTGTATAACTCTGCACTGTTTAAAATATCACAAGTTTCATAGTATTGTAAAATATAAGTGTGTTCTATCACACAACTATTCACACACAAAACTTACAAAACATACTGCATTATAGAACACTAAATCTGTATTTCCATCTATGCTAGTTCATTGTCACAAGAAACAACTATTTAAGAGTCTTAAATCTATAGCCCATTGCTTAGCCCTCATTTTTATGAGTGTGTATGAAATACCTGTGTCTCTGAAGTTCCAATAAAAACTAAAAAAAATAGGATAAGAATATCCATCGTTATTACATTTTTCAGGCAGTGGAATCACATTGATGGCTCTAGAGAGAAATGTTGCATGCATTAATGATTTAAAGACAGATCCTCCTGGCAGGTACACAATTAATGAGCCTGGATTACTCAATAGCTCTGCCCTTTCTTTGTTAAACTATTCATGAACCCTTGGATGGTTGGCTGTAGGTTCAGGGTAGACTTAAAAAAAAAAAAGTATAGACTTCGCTAAGGTAACAGTCCACTGATGCTGAAACTTACACTCCTCAATTCGGCAACAGTGTTTCTGTCTTCAACTTGTGCTTTGAAAAACTCTCAAAGGAGGATGTTTTCGTGCTGAATGAGTTTCATAAAGAACGTTCCTATTAGGACCAAATATAAATACAAGTTGGCTCGGCAAGTGTGATAATGAAAACTACACCTGATACTCTCCGCCTCCAAGATCTTTGATAGAAACAAAGCCACTGTCAGGAACCAGATCCACATGAAACCCTTCCGCGTGGCCGGAGGGCAGGCTCCAGCGCAGAGAAAAGGAATGTGCGGAGATATTGAAGGCTTTAAGTTTCTCTGGCTTTTCCGGCTCTGGTATTGAAAAATTAGAGTTTTCAAATGGTTATTCAGCGAAAGCTTCAAAGAAGAAAATGAAAATCAATGGATTAAGGGTCAAGTTTCAAACTAATCACATTGTTAGAAAGCATGGAGTCCTTTAAATTATGTCTGGTCATGCGAAGGTGCTAGGCATGTATATCATACTTTTAACAATAACTAATTTTTAAGTATAATGATCAGAAATAGCATATCGACTTAGGTTATCTGTCTCTGGAATATTTTTTTCTTTTTTACTTACTAAAATCTGTTGGTGGACCAGATTGTTTTTTAAAGCTTGGTTGTAATAGAAAAAATTGAATCATTTTAAGCAAAGTAAGTACAAACTATTTATCCAATTATCTGGATATTTACCAAATAGAAGACAATTGGAAAAAATGTATAACCAAAACGTGGCAAAATTTTTAAAGGGTTACAAATTCTGATAAATACTTAGTTAGGTGTTTCTTTTTAAAGGAAAGCTAAGCTTTCAGATGGGAGAGGAAATATGATAGTTTTTAACTTAGTCTAACTGTCCTAGCTATTTCAGCCATAATTTTCTATCTTTGCTTCCTCTGTTTTCAAAATTTTTCTTATGCTGCCTCTACCTCCTTGAAGGGAGTTTCGAACATTAAGTTCTGCTGATTGGTTGCCAATGACTCATTTTTTTATTCCACTTTATCTTTAGTGCAGATTTCAGACAAACAATATAAGGGAGGGAGAGAATTTATGAGGACAAGCATGTGAAAAACATACCCGATACACATCCAATTTAACACTGTTTCCAGAAGAAAGGAGTCTGGAATTAATAACTGAATTCCACTTACCATTTTAAAGCCCTCCCCCATCCAAGATCACTTGAATGAATATAATTTTTAAATATACTTTTCCTAACAAAACTGATAATGAGACATTGCCTAAAACAGAAATCTTAACATAACAAGTCAATTTCTCTTTTGGGGGGAGGTGGGAGGGAGATACTTTTGGAATTATTGTTTATTCCCTTTGAAAGTTCCTTTAATGCTTATAATGCTTCCCTAGCACCTGAAACTGATATCAATTAATTAACTTGCACCACAACAGTTTCAAAGATACATCCTCTAGGCATCTCCAAATTGCCCACAGAGTGAGCACTAGAGTTTTTTGTAAGAACTCTTTAGAAATATTGTAGTCCTGGCCTGTGTGGCTCAGTTGGTTGGAGTGTCGTCCCTTGCACCAAAAGGTGGTGGGTTTGATTTCGGGTCGGGGCACATACTTGGGTATTGGGTTTGATCCCAATTAGGGCATGAGCGGGAAGCAATGGATCGATTTCTCTCTCTCTCTCTCTCTCTCTCTCTCTCTCTCTCTCTCATTAATAAAAAAATAGAATTATTATAAGCCCAAGATAAAAGATCAGGAAAATACCCAGTTTGTGAGGGGTACAATTCCTTTGTTGTTCATAGGTGCTGGCATTTTTCCTGGATCATTGAGCACACAGACTTATGTCCTTGGTATTCTGAGGCTTGAGAGAAAAGAGCTTGATTCTGCTAGTCAGCCCACATTAACATAGACAAAAAGTCCAACATGACAAAAGTCCAATTAACTACTACCAACACGTACTGATTTATATGAGGGCAATGCTATTGCTTCAAGGGTCCCGGAAAATAGCTAATATCCATGAAGTCTTAGGGAAGAATCTAGAAAAATACCTCAGCAATCTGATTTGGTGTTTTGGTGTTTTGGAAGAAAAAGGAAGATCAGAGAAGTGAAGGTCTGCTTACTGAGATAGCGGTGAGATAGGATGTAGTTTCCTAGACTGAGGTTTAAGATTACACACTGAAGAACTCTTGGCTAAGGATGAAGCCTGTCTCACCAAGAGGAGGAAGAATATATTTGTCTGGACATTTGCCAATCTGATCAGGAGGGAAGGTCTGAAAACGTCAAGACAATTTGGTAAAGTCCTTTCAAAGCAGAGTCGATAGAAGCCTGGGAAATGGACAGAATTTAAGAGTAAGTGAGAAAAGGCAGCCTGTCGTCAAGACAATTTGGTAAAGTCCTTTCAAAGCAGAGTGGTTAGAAGCCTGGGAAATGGACAGAATTTAGAGTGACAAACGGCAGCCTGCGTTTCTGGGATCACATATGAAAGAGAAACAGTCTGAAGAACATGCAGGCCATAAAAAAGATTTTAGATTTTTTACCCCCTAAATACAATGAAAATTCATTTAAAAATTTTAAGCAGGAAAGCAATCTGATTTGGTGTTTTTTGTTTTGTTTGTTATTTAATTTTAAACCATTACTCTGGAATGGTATGATTTGGAGAAAGGTTAAAAATAGCAGTGAGATGCTAGTTAGTGGGATCTTGTTAAGTCTGAGCAGAGGAGCGAGGCCTGCCCTCATAAAAGGTAGTGGAGGTAGAACAATGCCAAGTCATATGGAAGAGTGCAGCTCTTTGCGTATGAGCTGAAAGATTCAATTAATTGAAAGTAGACCCATAATAAATACATGACTTGCACTCAATGGAATTTAATCCCTCAAAGGGTAGGAAAATATGAAACAAAAATATTACTCTTAACCTAATTGTTACTAAACAATAAAAACTAGAGGTGGATATGTTTGGAGTTTTAAGAAAACAAACAAAAAAATCACAATATGTTCAATTTAATTCGGGCTAGCAAAAGGAATTCTAGGCTTTAATTGGATATTTTTTTAGACCATAGTCTCCCAAAAATTAATCTTCAGAACCCTAAGTCCTTAGAACTTAATAGATGTCCCGTGATCAAAACACTTTGTCAAATAATTTCCATTTTCTGTTAGTTTTCTTTATTGCAGGATATCTCAGAGCCTTAAATATGCTTAAATATATCTATTATGATTTCTAAAGCAGTAACTCCCAATAAAAATATAACGTGAGCCCTGGCCTGTGTGGCTCGGTTGGTTGGGTGTCATCTCATGCACCAAAAGGTTTCCGGTTTGTTTCCTGGTCAGGGCACATGCCTTGGTTGCAGGCTCAACCCCCAGCAGGGGGCATGCAGGAGGTAGCCCATTGATGTTTCACTCTCACATCAATGTTTCTCTCTCTCTCTTCCTCTCTCTCTAAAAATAAATAAAAAATTTTAAAAATATATAAATGTCAGCCACACTAAAAAAGGAGAAACATGTAAAATTAATTTTAACAATATGTTATTTAAACCAATATATCAAAAATATCATTTCACATGTAATCAATATAAAACTATTAATAAGATTGTTAATTTTTTTCAAACTGTCTTTGAAGTCCCATGTGTCTTAAACACTTATAGCGCATCTGAATTTGGACTAGCCCAATGTCAAGACTCAGTAGTCACATGTTGCTAATCACTACATATTAGTGCACTCTAAAGCATCTCACAGCTTTCCCGTTAACATTTCAGTAAATTTACCTAAGCTGCATTTTGAGAAGCTGAGGGAAAAAAATAGAAATATCCCATGATCGGTATCTATAAGGGAAACAGCTCAAAAGAGTTGGGAGAACCTCAAAAACAAAATTCTGATACAAACTATTGTATATTAACCTTTGAGAAAGAAAGTAAAAATAGATCTGAAATGGAAGAAAACAGCACACCCAGAGCTCCTCAGTCTATTCTGACTCCTAAAAGAATACATACAAAGTGAGGCCAAAATGTTACATATCCCAGAATATTCACAAAACAGTTGCACAAACCTATCAAAACAGTATCAAGAAAAAAACCCCACAATACAATGCACAGCTTTTTAAAAATAAAACATGAAGACTCTACAAAGTTTCATTGCATTATTGTTTTTATTACTTCCCATGTACCAAAACTGTAATGATAAGCTATCACATTTACTAGTGAGCCTTTTCATGATTAAATTATTTGTTGGGCATAATATATACTATGATCCATGGGATACTCATGCATTGGATACAAAAAATAAGAACTCTTACCAAGTTTATTATATACTATGCACTGTGCTAAGCACTTTCACACATTGTTTTATGTAGCAGTTATAACAATTCACAAGTAGATACAATTATCATTGCCATTTTTAAATGAGAAAATTGGGAAACAAAGAATTTAGATAACTTCTCCAAGGCCTCAAGGCTAACAAGTGAATGGTAGAGTAGGATTTAGTCACAGGAGAAATAGCTTCAGAGCTCAAGCTTAATTAAGATTGTGAACCTTAAAATGGAGATGAAACTCGATTACCAAGGTAGGCCCAATCTAAGCACACAGACCCTTTAAAGTGGGAGAGAAGGCCCTGGCCAGTGTGACTCTGTTGGTTGGTCATTGTTCCATACACCAAAAGATTGAGGGTTCAATTCCCAGTTACGGTACATGCCTGGGTTGCAGGCTCAATTCTCGGTGGGGGCCGTGCAGGAGGCAGCTGATCAATGATTCTCATCATTGATGTTTCTATCTCTCTCTCCTCTTCCCTTCCTCTCTAAAATAAATAAAAATATATATTTTAAAAATTCCTTATCCTTTTGAAGATACTATCAGGCTCAAAGAACTTTCTCTACCCATGCTATGGAGCTAGCCTTTCCTTTTTCTGTGCAACCACATTGTTTGAACATACTCCCATTACTTCACCTATTAATTTGATTTATACTATGTGTTTTCTTGCTTCTATTCTTTACTACTCTCTGCATATCCTAAGACTATGGGTTTTTTTCTATGTGTAAAGCACATAGTAGGACATCAAAGACAAAGTTTTTAGGAGATGGGTGATCCCCAAATCAGCATCAAATTTAACTAGCTGTACCTTTAATTTAATGTGAAACTAAGTATAATATTGGCTGCATTTATTGAGTACTGACTATATACCAAATATTGTTTTATTCAATTTACATTTTACATTTATTATCTCAAAAATCCTCAGAATATTTCAGCAAAATGAGTATTTTTACCCTCTTAAATATTCTGTGGACTCTAAGTTTTCAAATTTTAAAAAATACATTGACATTTTATCTTGAACAATACAATATGCAATATAAATGTGAACTTTAAAAATACCAAAAAGAATTTGTATACCTGCAACAACGCTGATAAATGTTCCAGATCCTTCAACATTGCCTCTTACTCTGTGTACTGTGATGTTATATATCCCACCAGGAGTCAGATCTGTAACTGTGTACTCAGTCATTCTTCCCCAAATGAAATATTCTTTTGCAAATGTTATGTTTGATATATAAATCTTGTAATGAGTGAAGTTGGTTTCTGTTGGATTCCACATTAAATTTGCAGAAGAAGTATTCACAGCTTTTAATATTAAGCCACATATCTTAGATGGTTCTATTGAAAAGGTAAATTACATGTAAATAAAACTACATATATATAATGATATAGCAAACATGAATAATATAATTTAAACACTTATGTAATAATCCTTAAGTTTATTCATGTACTAGTATAATGTCCTACATGTTCAGCTACGCAAATAGAGAAATAGAACATTATATATATAAATATATGTTTTTATTGACGTGCCATATTAACATCCTCCCTTCTTCCCAACTAGTTTCCTCAACCAATCATAAATCACTTCCCATAGTAATTCTTGTAGTCTTGTGTCTCCTGAATGCTCATTTTTTAGCTACCACATAGCAGTTAGCTAGTGTTAAATGAAGATGAGACAGAACAAATAAGTTAGAGAAGCAATGAGGACCAGAAGTGAGGGCATTTTCAAATGTGATCTGGTTATATCATTTTTTTTAATAGTCCTATATCACTTCACTTCAATCCACTCATCAATGGTAGTCATGTTGTTTCTTGCAATATTGGTCTCCACTGGGAGAGGATCCTACAGGCCTCACAATCTTTTACAAGAATTGTTATAGTTATACTATAGTATAACAAATACTATAACTTCTCCCAACTCTAAAACATTGAGACAGATTTACAATTGATTTACAAACTTTGGGGAAAAGAAGATAGAGTTCTCTGTTTATCAAAACTCTACCTCAGATGAAAATAAATTGTGCTTATATTATTATGTGTGTATATATACATATGCACACATGTGTTCCATATATGTGACATGCATGACACATGTGTGTATATATATACATGTTGACTTCAGATTTTTAAAAAACTCTATGTAGTTCCCAATACATTTACACATATAAAGAAAGTTTTAATTCATATATTTTTGAGAGTTCTCTTAACATTTTTTATCATCAGGCTTTTATTATTCCTTTATTATCAGGCTTTGTGTTTTAAAATAGCTTTATTTATGCTGAGCCAAAATACTTTCAATTTTTTTAACTATAAAACAAAGATTTCATTTATGATATACCCTTACTTGTAGTCACTTTTTTCATCACGGATACACTGTAGTCTTTGCCTCTAACTGTCTTCACGTGAAACATGTAGTCCACACCTGGAGTCAAATTCTTTACTTGGACTTTGTTTCCATAAACAATTACTTTAAATAGCTTTTCCTTTCTAGATGTCATACAATAAGATACCTAGAAGAAGGAGAGATAAATTGATGTTTTTCATGGTTTAAGAAGTATTTACTTAGCACCAACTTTGTTCTAGTCACATTCACATAAACTACTACTGCAAGGTCGGGGCTGTGATCCTCCCTATGTTCACCAAGAAGTAATTTGAGTCTAGTTGAGACTAAATAGCAGTCAACTTCCCATAGCACTGAGCATAGAGGACTGAATTAGAAGTAATTCACTAAAAGACCAAGAGTCTCAAACTGTTTTTACATTTTCATTTACATATGCTCTGACTTATATGTGTATATGTACATAATGATTGGGACTTTCCCTTTTAGTTGCCTGAGAGCAAAAAAAATATTATGTAAAGTTTTATAACCACTCTCCAAATTCCGTGTAAGCAGAAGACAGGAGGAGAAAGGACCTGCTGAAGTCTAACTTTCTGGCCTAGGGGAGAATGCCAAGACATTGTCCTGGCTGCCCAAGAGGTGGGAAGTAGGGCTTTTGCCAACACCCCACACTCCAGCTAAATGAGGAGGGCGCCACGTGTATCACCACCATCACCTGAGGGTGCCTGCTAGAGAAAGCAGCACCTCCCAGTAAGTCATGTGCTTAGGCAGCAGACGTTTTGTTCATATGTCTGGTTGATCACAGAAAAAGGAAATTGGAAAAAGAGAACAAAGAAAAGAAGAAAAAAAAAGAGCCGTGGAGCAATTTGTACACCCACCTGTGCCCTGACAAAGATGCCAGAGCCTCCATGGGTGAAGTAGAGACCACAAAGAGTGGTCAGGCTTGAGCTATCTTTCCAGGACCTCACCCTAGAAGGCTGGCCTCCGTGCAAACAGACCCTCACAGCAGAAAGCATCAGGACATATGCCACAGGGAGGAGCTAAAAAGAGTTAAAAATGATTGAGCCAGAGCTGGTCTGTCATGTCAAAGAAGTGGGCAGTGGAGGTAACCCCCAGGGGCCTCGGAGAACTCATGCATGTGCCGGGGAGAGAGCCAGTGTTTGCAGGACCGTTAAACTGATGTCATTGGCAGTCAGTCAGTGTTGGGGGGGTAGACAAAACCAGCAAGAGAGAGAACAAAAATAGACACCCAGAATGAAGAAGGTGCTTCAATTTTTTGTTAAATGAATGAATCATAAATGTCACATTCCATACCAGCCCATCCTTTATCATAACCTGAGCCAATCAATTATTCATTAAAGCTTTGAGAATTGGCATTGCCTTTAGAAATTTTCAGTGGAGTAATCTGATCGTTCCAATACCTTGGAGTTTAATTCATTAAATGATTTTTACTCTTCTTCACTCCTTACCTCACGTTTGTAAAACAGAAAGATATTTCTAAGTGAAAGTAATCACAGTAATTTTATATATTATTTCAACTTTATTATACTTTTAAGAACATTGTTATGTGGTAGGAGTGAAACAAATTTTCTAAGCAGACATGTTTATTGCTGTTTTGTGGGAAGAGTGTTTTGTTACTGGAGGAAGATAATCATTAGGTCTAGAAGCATATCATTGCTTATTGACTTATAAGGTGTCACTGACAATTACCTTGCTTGTCTGGCATATGAAAAGATAGAAGGAGTGAATAGAATGCTGAGTACTTCTGGTTTGGAAAAGAATGATAGGAGAAAGTACCATGTAATAATAGAAGAATATTTCCTGAATAAAGTACTAAATTCAAACATAGTAAGTGGCATATTAAGGTACAAATGAAAGGGGTAGAAGGAAAAGAAATTGTCTGTAGTGACCTAATGATGAAAATATGTAAATTTTTAAAAGTGCAATTTGAAAAATAGAGGTTTGTTCCCATTGTATGTGGACTACACATGCCTAATAGAAACCAACAGAAGAAAACTGAATTCATGCTTTATGTCTACTTTCAAAGCATAGTTTGAAGACCTGGGATGATTAATTTTAAATGATGAGGAAAATGATCCCAATTATGCAAGTACACTTTGCTAAGCAACCAGGATACTGTTGCTTAATTCATTAAAATTTAACAAATAATCTCATTGGTTGCGTAAGACTAGGATAACCATTAGTAATATAATATATTTAATAAAAATAATCTGAATCCTAAACATTAACATGATCTCTTAAAATAAGTTTCACTTAATAACAGATAATAATTTAAAGTCTCTGAAAGAAATGTGTTCATTGATATAGTAAAAAATAATTCTATGGCTATATATTTTATCCAGCAACAAATAATTTTATGGGCTTGGTTAACCCCATGGAAAGATCATTTCTTTGGGCATTTGCTTTGAAATAATGTGAATCAAAACAGAAAGACAAGGGTAAAAAATGTGGATCTTTTACAATTAAGATTTAAAAGGCAGATTTTTCACTAGAAAATACCAACACTGAATATAGGAATGGTTTGAATCACTCTAAAAGGATAGAATTTTTCATGAATGATTTATTATTCAAGATGCCCCTATGATTGAATTACATTTACAAATAACAGATAGAATGCTCACTCCTGACTTTGTGAACTTGCTAATGTAGAAAATCCTCTCCTCTTTTCCATGCATCTGAATCCTACCCATTACTGAAAGTTCAAGTTCCAACTTTTCCTGATAATTACATTCAGCATTGACGTCTTCTTCCATCATCACCCCAGTCATATATGGGAACACTGATATCTAAAGTTGTATTTATCCATCAAATATTTATAGAGCACCTATTTTAGGGCAAGCATTATTCTACATACTAGATATTATAGTAAATTAGAGGCCCGGTGCATGAATTCGTGCATGGGTGGGGTCCAGCTGGTGGCCAGGGGTGAGGGGGTTGGGGGTACCATGGGAGGTTGACTGGCCAGCCCTGCCCCTGACCAGGGTTGGGGGGGTCGACCGTGGGTGGGGCCAGCTAGGAGGAGGGGCCGAGGGAGGCTGGCCCCACCCCCACCCCCATTGGGCCAGTTGGCCCTCTGCAGTGTCCGTCATAGCAACCGGTCATTCCAGTCATTCGGTCTTTCCAGTTGTTCTGGTCACTTGGCTTTTATATATATAGATAAGACAAAAAAGGTTTCTGATTATAGGAAATTACATTTCTAGTGGTGGCACCTAACAATAAGCAACTCAATAAATAAATGAATGAGATAAATCATCCACATGATGAGTGACTAGAAAGAGCAGTTTTATTTAGAGTTGGTAATCAGAGGAGAATATGAGAAGATGGTATTTGAGCTATAAACTCAATGATGGGAAAAAAATAAACCAAAACTGGAGGCAAGATATCCATGCATAATGAATGTCAAGCACAAAAACCTTATAATGGAGATGTGCTTGAGAAACAGTAAAAGCCAAATGTGGTCTCAACATAATAACTAAGTAGACAGGATATGTAGATGAAGGTCCAATCAAATGAAGTATTGGAGACCATTGCAAGTAGTTTAGATTTAATTTGAAGAGCAATGGAAATCTGTGGAGGGTGTTGAACAAATGAGAGACACAGTTTTTAATAGTTCTCCCTGGCTGTGATGTGGAAAGTGGGTTGTAAGGTACTCAAGATTGGAAACAGACCAGTTAGGAGGCAAGAGACTATTATCTGTCACGTTGGCTGCTGGTCTCAGTAAGAAATGATAGTGCCTAGGACAAGAGTGGTACAATGGGTTGAAGGAAAGTGCACACATTAAGGGTTTTAGAGGTGGAAGTGGCAGAACTAACTAGCTGATGAACTGAGGGATGAGTGAATAGGAATAATCAAAGATAACCAAGAAAGTGATTGCAGGACCCTATCCTTTCCTGAGATGAGAGATACTGGAAAGAGCAGGGCTGGGGTCACACAGGACAGCCTTGTAAGCCATGGTAAGGAGTCTTTGAAGCACAAAATGATACATTTTATTTTGCTTAAAAAGAAAGAGAATGATGATTGCTGTATGGCAAGGGAAAGGAAAAAGAGAAATTCACATTAAAAGTGAGCTTCTTTGGCCGGCCAATGTGGCTCAATGGTTGAGTGTCAAACCATGAACCAAGAGGTCACTGGTTTGATTCTGGTCAGGGCACATGCCTGGGTTGCAGACTCAATCCCCAGTAGGGGGCGTGCAGGAGGCAGCAGATGGATAATGTTTCTTCTCATCATTGTTTCTATCTCTCTTTCCCTCTCCCTCTCTCTCTAAAAAATCAATAAAAACATTTTTAAAATGATAAATGCTTACATAGTTAACTTTTTTAAAAAGTAAGCTTCTTTTTCCTTAAAAAAAAGGAAAAGTAATAATTCAATCATTCACTCATCAAAATATTTATTGACTCTTGCTATATATCAGATACTGATCTCAGTAATGGAACCAAAAGGTGATGAGTGGGCAAAAGGTCTTCCCTCACAAAATTTATATGACAAATACATTATCTCATTTAATTCCCACAACAATTCTATAAAATAATAATAATCTTCACTGACAGAAAAAATAGCACCAAAGAATATAAAAACTTGTCCAAGGTCTCACAGTTGAGGTGAAGTTGGGATTCAAAGCAAGAAATTCCAGGGCTTTGATCCTTCTGTTCCAGCACACTGCCTACCACACCTTGTAAGATCACAGGATAACTGAACACAGGCATCTATATCAAAGTTGCATCTTATTAGAAGGCTAGCACATGAGGTCTGAAAGATAGAAATTATGGACAAGTATACAGTAAGTTTGGAACTCTACCCCTAAAGAAATGGTGATGTTAGCACATGTACATCTACAATAGCAATACAAGATAGCATGACAAAAGTAACACAGAAAAGGTTAAACTGAAGTTTCATAAAAGTTCTGTGCAAGGAAATAGTACTCTCTGATAATGGGATCAGAGAAGGTTTCAAAAAAGAAGTAGGATTTGAGCTGGGCACTGATGGGCCAATTTTACCATCTTCCACCTTATCATTAAATCCAGATGACAACAGTCACTCTGTAGCTGCATAGTCCACTATCATAGCCCCTTGTCAATGTGGCTGTTAAGTACTTCAAATGTGTCTAGTCAGAACTGACTGAGATGTTTTAAAGTATAAAATGGACACTCAATTTTGAAGAGTTAGTATAAAATAATGTAAAATATATCATTAATAATTTATATATTGTTTACATGTTAGTATTTTGAATATGTTGAGGTAAATAACATATATTACTAAAATTCATTTCCCTTTATTCTTTTTACCTTTTTACTGTTTCTATTAGAAAATTTTAAATTACACATATTATTCATTTGTGGCTCACATTATATTTCTACTGGATAGTGCTGGTGTTACATCACTGAGTTCATTTAAAAAAACAGTTAAAATGTGTACGAAAGGAAATGGCAAACTTTCATAAATGTTCTATGTCAACTATTGATTTTTTCCTAAGTTCACAACGAATTCTCTTAGGTCTTAAATATGCAAACTAATATTTATTTTTATGCTTGGAATAGATTAGACCTTCAGTTCCATTACAGTTCTGAGATTCTATTTAAAGATATAAATATTTTTGCACTCACAGTACTTATGAAAAAGCAAGTCAATACTTTCAGAGGATTACTAGCTAGAACAAATATTCAGTGTTTAAATGAATTTCACAGTTTGTACAGACTAATAAATATTCCTTATCTTTTGAACTCTCAGAATGCTGGGCAAAACAAAATAAGGATTTCTATTGTTTAAAGAAAACCCTAATATAAAATTTATTACCAGAATATTTTGTATAAGAATATCACTCAGAGATTAATTCTTCTGAAAAAAAAACACAAAACTGAAATTGATATCCTAATCTCATAAGAAAGATGATACTTGTGTTCTTATGTTCTCTATGACATAGACTTTAATGACCTTGCATGCCACACAGATTCCATCATTTCACATTGGTAGGGAACTTTTAAATAATTTGGTTTTCCACCCTTTAAGAGCCAAGTGGAATTTATATTTCAGTAATGGAACTGACAATGCATGGTGACTTAAGATTTTATTCAAAACAGTTCCTTTGGAAATTTGCCTTGGTTAATCAACCATACCGTAATACATAGTACCCTCCTCCCTTTTGTTTTAGAAGGTTTGGGAACTTGATCTTACCTCCTCCAGTCTTTTTTTTAAAATATATTTTATTGATTTTTTGCAGAGAGGAAGGGAGAGGGATAGAGAGATAAAAAATAAAGGTGTGTGAGTCAGAGAAGAAGGTAAGTAACTATTTTTAGAAATAGGTTGGAAAGCCACCACCCTCCCCCTTCAAAAACTGGTGAGAGTGAAGAATATATAAGTGGTCATTTAAGGGAGGAAAAACAACTGCACAGATATATCTCAAGCAGGTGTGACTATCAAAGAAAGAGTAAGATGTCTAATGCATTTACAATATGAGTCAGAATTTAAGGTAAGTATAGGAAAAGGCAATGAGATGATGGTTCAACAGATTTAGAATTGTTCTGAAAGTTGGCTTGATCCTGAGGGTAAGAGGGAGCCAACAACAATGGTAAGGGCCTCAGCTGAGGCATATAAAATGGAAATGGAAAGGAAGAGAAATATTTTTATAATAATTCTAAGTTAGAATCACTACAATCCCATGAACAAGTACATATAGACATGAAAGAAAGAGAGCAGTCAAAGGATGACACTAAAATTTCTAGTAAGGAAGACTCATAAATGATATTAAAGGGAACTTTTATATAGGGAATGATATCTGAGTAGGGTCTTGAAGAATTGCCAAAGAAAAACATAGAAAAGAAAGTAATTTGGTTGAAAAGAACAATATAACCAAAGAATACAGTCAGGAAAACATAAAGTATAAGAATAATGGTGGGCAATACAATTCAGTGGAAATATGAGATATATGGAAAGTAGAAGATTAGAAAGGCTGTTGGAGTCACTCATTGGAACCAAAGATCACAATAAGCAATATATATAATATTAGGCAGACAGTAGAGAGCCACAGAAGGCTTTATACTTTATATAAGCCTTACAGTTAGATCTATAATAGTATCTCTCTATATATAAACTATCTATATAATAAAAGCCGAAGCGATCATTACAGCGAAACAACCAGAACGACCAGTTACTCTGATGCACACTGATCACCAGGGGCAGTCGCTCAACACAGGAGCTGCCCCCTGGTGGTCAGTGCGCTCCCACAGGGGGAGTGCCGCTCAGCCAGAAGCCAGGCTCACGGCTGGCGAGCGCAGTGGTGGTCATGGGAGCCTCTCCTGCCTCCGCAGCAATGCTAAGGAGCGAGCAGGCAGGCAGTAAGGAGAGAGGGGTTCCAGACTGCGAGAGGGTGCAGGCCAGGCTGAGGGACGCCCCTGTGCATGATTTTTGTGCACTGCACCTCTAGTCCTATATAATAAAAGCCTAATATGCTAAGTGTCCAACCATTCATTAGATCGTTTGACCAGTCGCTATGATGCGCACTGACCACCAGGGGGCAGATGCTCCGACTGGTAGGTAAGCTTGCTACTGGGGTCTGGCCGATCGGGACTGGTTGAGACGGACCACACATGCTCAGGACAAATCTGTGAACTGGGCTGGTTTCGGCCCGATCTCCACAGGCCAGGCCGAGGGACCCCACTGGTGCATGAATAACCGGGTCTCTGGTTATTTAATAACTAATATTTTATATATTATTTTAAATATTTTAAACTTAACTAGTGAGTAATACACATGCTAATGCCTTTTAAAAAAATTTTATTTATAGTTAATGTACAATATTATATTAGCTTCAGATGTACACCCAGTGATTAGACATTTATATAACCTATGAAGTGATTGCCCTGATAAATTTAGTACCCATCTGACACCATCCTATATAATAAAGAGGTAATATGCAAATGGACTGTCACAACCTTGCACAAGATGGCTGCCCCCATGTGGTCATAAGATGGCCGCCACAAGATGGCCACCAGGGGAGGCAGTTAGGGGTGACCAGGCCTGCAGGGGAGGGCAGTTAGGGGTGACCGGGCCCGCAGGGGAGGGCAGTTGGGGGCAATTGGGCCTGCAGGGAAGCAGTTAGGCATTGATCAGGCCAGCAGGGGAGTGGTTAGGGGGTGATCAGGCAGAAGCGGTTGGAAGCCAGCAGTCCCGGATTGTGAGAGGGATGTCTGACTGCCATATGATTTCACTTAAATGCAGATTCTAAAAAACAAAATAAATGAATAAGCATTTTTATTCACTTTTTTACTTTTCTTCTTCCTCTTCTTTTTCTCCTGCCCCCCCCTCCTCTTCCTCCTTCTTTCTTCTTCCTCTTCTTTTTCCTTAATAAGACTTTTTAATATGTCTTGTAATACTGTGTTTGATGGTGTTTAGTTCCTTTTTCTTGTCTGGAAAGCTCTTTATCTGTCCTCCAATTCTAGCTTTGCTGAGTAATCTTGATTAGAGGTCCTTGCTTTTCATCACTTTGAATATTTTGTGCCAATCCCTTCTAGCCTGCAAAATTTCTGTTGAGATATCAGCTGATAGTCTTATGGGAGCTCCCTTGTAGGTAATTAACTGCTTTCTCTTGAAGCTTTTAAGATTCTCTCTTTGTATTTGACCATTGGCATTTTAATTATCATGTGACTTGGTGTGGGCCTCTTTGGGTTCATCTTGTTTGGGACTCTCTTCCTGGACTTGTGTATCTATTTCCTTCACTAGCTTAGGGAAGTTCACAATCTTTATTTTTTCAAATAGGTTTTCAATTCCTTGCTCTCTCTCTCTTCTCCTTCTGGCATCCCCATGATGCAAATGTTAGTATGCTTGAAGTTGTCCTCAGGCTCCTTAAACTATCCTTATTTTTTTTTTAAATTCTTCCAAATTGCCAGCTTGATCCTCTGCTTCATCTACTCCACAGTTGATTCCCTGTAATGTATTCTTCATTTCAGTTAGTGCATTCTTCATTTCTGACTGGTTCTTTTTTATGTTTCTAACTTTATTTTAATGTTTACTATCTCTTTGTTGAAGTTTTCCCAAAATTCGTCTACTCTTAAGTGCATTGAGCATTCTTATAACCAGTGTTTTGAACTCTGCATCTGTAGATTGCTTGTTTCCATTTTGTTTGGTTCTTTGTAGTTTTGTTCTGTTCTCTCATTTGGGACATGTCTCTTTGTCTCCTCATTTTGGCCAACTCCCGGTGTTTGTTTCTATGTATTAGGTAGAGCTGCTATGTCTCCCAGATTTGGTAGAGTAGCTTTATAGTGGCACAGTCTCTCAGGTCACTTAAACTGGGGACTCCAGGTGCACTCTCCTTTCCTACCCTATGACCCGTACACATCTTTTTATTGTAGTTGAGCCTTGTTTGCTGTCAATGGGGGGTGTTTTACTGTGTTTGATGGTGTTTAGTTCCTTTTTCTTGTCTGGAAAGCTCTTTATCTGTCCTCCAATTCTAGCTTTGCTGAGTAATCTTGATTAGAGTTCCTTGCTTTTCATCACTTTGAATATCGGCTGTAAGGACTGCCAGTGACTACAAAGTTGAGCCTTGTTTGCTGTCAATGGGGGGTGTTTTACCCCCAAGCCGATCGGCTGTAAGGACTGCCAGTGACTACAGCAGAGGATCTTCTGCACAGAGGCCAACCCCACAGAACAGGACTTGTCTCAGTGGGGTTCAAGTGTCCACTGAGTTCACCCCTTAATTGTGTCACCTGTGGAGGTGGTTGGGTGGTTATGTTTCAGCATGGTCTGAAGCCATCCACTGGATGTGCTGGCTGTGGTGCCTCACAGAAGGTGTAAGCAAGGATCAGCTGTAACCGATGCCCTGCTTAGGGCTACCAAGCATGAGCTACAAAGTGATCTGCAGATGGATGCTACTTGTGCTGGGCTTGGAGGTGATGGGAGAGGCCAAGCTACAAATGAATGTTGGCTGCCACTACTGCCAGGCATGGGGCTATTTAGCAAGAGATATGGGGCACACTGAGGCCAGATGCTGCTTGTTTGGGGTTTGTAAACCTTTGAGATATTTTAGGAAAGTCTACAGCATGAACCAAGACTGGCCATTTGTATAGAAAAGCCACTGGAAACAGCTCCAGTGGGCTTGTAAGTTGGGTAGAGCAGGGTCTCAGGGAATCCCCAGGTGGGGTGAACAGTGTGAGCCAGGTTGATGGAGACTCAGATCAGATATAGCACTTGTCTCTTGGCCCTGGGGCGGGGAAGGGGGAGTTAGGAACAATGGTCTCTGGAAGAAAGCTTCCCCCACAAGCCTTCATTTTAAAGACCATCAACTCAGTTCCTTCCCTTATGTCCCTGATGCCCCAGTGCTGGAGGTCAGAGGAATGAGTCTAAGTAAGTCCATGTGGGCCCTTTAAGAGGAACACCTAGGACTCCAGGAGCCTTCCATCTCACTCAGCCACAATCCCCGCTGGTTTTCAGAAGTTTGGGGTACTTCTCAGCACTGCAACCCTGAGGTGGGGATCCTGGTGTGGGGCTGGAACCCCTTGCTCCTCAGAGGGGACCTATGAAGCCAGGATATTCCTCTGGGATTTTTAACCATCCCACATGGATGTGGGACCAACCCATTCCAGGTCTCTGCCCCTCCTATCAATCTCAACATGGTTTCTTCTTTATATCCATATATCCCCTGAAAGGGAACCTGTGGCACATCATCCAGCTTTAACTCCTAGAATTGTTATTTTGGCCAGTGCTGCAACAGAAGCATTATCCTCCAGTGCCATCATTCCTTTATTTACTTTTGTACTATGTATGTGCATGCCTAGCTCCACTGAAATTCCAAGCTCATTTAAAGTCAAGTATCAGCTTTTACTTAAAGTTGAATGCCTCCCATGACAACTTTGTACTTTTAAAGCAGTACATAGAAGCATTGCTTTGGAGAAGAATTTTACATTAAAGCAGCGGTTCTCAACCTGTGGGTCGCGACCCCGTTGGAGATCCAACGACCCTTTAACAGGGGTCGCCTAAGACCACCCTGCATATCAGATATTTACATTACGATTCATAACAGTAGCAACATTACAGTTATGAAGTAGCAATGAAAATAATTTTATGGTTGGATCACAACATGAGGAACAGTATTTAAAAGGCCAGAAGGTTGAGAACCACTGCATTAAAGGAATGCTACTATAATATCTAAAACCATTAATGTAAAACAAAGGACAAAAAGAAGGAGTAAAATAAAGACCTCAATAAACATCAAGTTTTATGACAGCAGCACTGTTCTTTACCTGAAACTTTTCGAAGCCTCCTTGTGGGAATTTCCAAGACAAATATATTGTGTTTTCTTCCTGCCCAAAAATTAGCAGGTCTGATGGTGGTTCTGGACCTAGGGCAATGAAATAAGACACAGCAATGATATTTTTTTAAAGGTTCTGCCATTATCTTATCTACACTGGACTGATGACCTTGGACTATCACACTATGAAAGAGAGGACAGGATACCTAGGTTTTTCTAGTCAGTTTTAGCACCATCTGATCTCATGCAAGCTGTTTACCCTGAGTCCCAGTCTCCTCATCTTTATAGTGGAAGGAAAAAAAGAATTTTCTAGAAAGCCTTTTTCCACAATAAAATTATATGAACTATGGATTTTCAAAAATATTTTTCTCATAGGAGAATTCAGTGTGCAGTTACTACAATTGGGATTTTTAACTTAAAATTTTATGGCACTGCATAAAGTAAGAGATGCACCTTTTCCCCTTCTTAAAGTTCACAAATTCCTTTTTCCTTTAAACATTTTATCTGAGAAGGTTCTAGAAATTTATTTTTCTAATCAGTAACATGTCTCTACTTACAAATCATATTTCAAATTGAAATGTTGCATTGCTTTCCTTAATTGGAAGAAATGTGATATTAACATTTCATTGGAATCAAATAATTTCATCTCTAAATTCAAATTTTGCATGAGATTTTGTCCCTATTTACATACTAATTTAATTTATTAGAATTCAGCTAAAAATTAAACCTGTATTGCTGATTCACAATTCTTTTTATTTTGTTTTTTAGAGTGCATATTGCCTTCCTACTGGAATTAATTTATCACCCCACATTACCATTATATTTTAGCTCTGTTTTGTAAATTTTTTAATATCCCATCTACTTCTAAATGGATTTGAGGTGGCTTTCAAAGACAGGGTGGTACAAAAAAATTATATATCGTTAAAGACACAAGTGAAATTGTCAGGGAAAACAAAGCCGGAACAACAACCTCTAAAAACATATTATTAAACAGGGTAGAAATGAGGAACTTGAGGTCCAAATAGAATAATGATTTCTACAAAGTCACAGAGCCAAGAATGGGTAGAGTCAGGCCTTCCAATAACACAGTGACTCTTCTACTGAAACAGTGGTTATAAGGACAGAATTTAATGGGAAATGTGGGTTCAAATCCCTGTCATCATGTATAAGCTACTGAAATTCTCTAATCCCCACTTTCCTCATTTGAAAAAAAGTACCTCATTATGATTGATAGAATAAAGGTTGTCATTGAAAATTAAGTGATATAAATCATAAAAATTCTTTGCAAGGTGCTTGACAACGAACAATCATTCAATGTGATGAAAACAACAATGATGACAATGGTGATGGTGATGTTGACAACTATAATGACACACGCAAATCTAAGAAGGTTTCACTGATATAAAAATAATGAGTTACCATTTTAAAAAGTGAAGCCATTTCTCATTTATTTCTGGTGTGTGTGTGTTTTTAGGATGATTTTTTTGAGAGGCAGCAGTATCATATCAGTTAGCTTAGACCTGGGTTAAATCTCACCTTAAATAATGAATTATGAATGCCTCTGAGCCTTAACCTACATTTTAGATAATCTTGGGAGAGTCAATGTGGTAACTTAAGCACATAGTACCATGTTGATATATAAGTGCTCGAATTTTTTAGTTTCTTTCCCTGGAATTGATTTGACTGCTGCTGCATTTGCCGGAGCTTTCCCTTCCTCCACATGGAAAATTCTGAAATTAAGCCTCCTCTCATTCTCCTAGGGCACTGGTACTTGCGTGCACATTCAGGCAACTATGACCTACAGATGACAGGGTTCTTTGGAACATGTCTAAATATATTCATGTATGTAAGTGATGCTAATAAGGTCAGAAGAGGCGAATTGAACCCAAATAATGCAATTGAAAACACAGTGCCATCTATTTTTATCATAGTCCAAGGTTTTTGTTTGGCTTTCATAAAATGTTATAGTTACAGTCAAAATGTTAGAAAAATATCAAGTATTTCATAATGATAGTGCCCTGGGATTTAGGGCACTTTGAACTTTCACTAAGAACTTTGAATTTCATTTTAGTAACAAGATTTTATACCAAGGCAGGGATGATTATTCTCATTTTCTAAGTGTGGACATAGTAGTTTTGCCCAAGGTCACATAACTAATAAGTGATAGAGGCAGGAATATAACTCAGGCTTTCTCCATATTTCATGCAGTGTTCCTTCTCAAGCATGTCACAAACTAGTTCCAAATTCATTCATTTTAAGTTAGATATTGGCTTTAAACAAAACTATTCCCCTTATTTCTACCCATGAAAAGTTAATCAAATATAAAGTGAACTCACAAGTGCTAACCATGAGGACAATAGGATGGCTTCTCTTTAATCCCTTGGTAGTTATAATGCTAACTGAAAAGTCAGTCCCTGGAGAAAGGTTATCAAATGTGAATGTCCTACACAGTAAAAAAAAAAAAAAAAAGTCACATATTAAGATATTTAGCTCAGAAACATTGGAAAACACTATTATCTCACACTACCTGAAGAAATAATGTTATATATGTTTGGTTTTTATTGCCTATCATGGAAACAATGTGTCATGCTTAAGCACAAATGGTTAATTAGAAACCACATCTTCTCACATGGAGAAATTTCATATAAATCAGAGTGTATATTATACATACAAGCAAGACAATATCCTGAAATAACTCATCATTATCTATTTGCAGAGATAAATTTGGCTCTACACATCAGTTATTCTAATTACATTATAATCCAAAAAGTTTTCTTGCAAAGTTTTCTAATATCAATTTATATTAAACCATTTAGTTTATGAAACATATATATATAATGTTAATTTTGTGTTCCATGTAACTTGACATAATTTCTTTCAATGTTATCATACCTTTTTGTGGAAGGCAGGATTTCTTCTTTTGTTAACCTTTCACTGGATATTGAAATAATGTACCCATCCAGAAGACTTCTGGGTGAAGGCCAGTTAACAGTTACTGCACTTGAGTTTCTCCTATGGTTCATAAATTCAACTGCACTTGGGGCTGTATCATTTAAAGCACACACGTAAGATAACATTTTCTAACATACTAAGCACCTGCTTTAAAACAGCCCTGAAACACTCCCAGGATTTCTTTGATATTCTTCAAACTCTGAGGGTAGCCAAGACATTTCTTTTATTCTTCTTAGTAGATATGAACAGTTAAAAGTCAAAAGAGGAAAAAAGCCAACAAGAATCATTTTAAACTTTAAAATAAAGATGATGTGTATTCCACTAGCATTGTACTTAATATTTCCCTTGCCTTTAAAATGTAGGAAGAGATTATATATTGGTCTTGTACAACCACGACCCTCAGAAATATTTAATGATTTTTAGGACTCATTCTAATTAAATACCAAATAGTGACAAGGTTAACCATCAGGAAAGTTAATTGCAATCTAAATATGAAATGCTTCTCTCCTTTCCTGAGAAAAAAAGTTAAATTAAATAATATATATTTTCTTTCCTCTATAAAATTCTTCCATGTATAAGAACAAAATGTCAAGATATTCTTCTCCATTCCATTCCTTGTTATTATAGTAAAAGAATATTAGACATGACCAGTTTCTAAATATGAAAATATTTATATATAGCATCAGTGTCAAGAATAACTAAAATAGTTATTTCAGCAGACTAGTTGACAATTTTACTTCACCTAATTGTGAAAATATACATTTTACATATATCCTTCCCAATCATCCTTTATTTCATATGACAACCATGGAATAAGTTACCATCTGCCACTGGGAGTAAGTTGCTAACATGGAAAATGGTACTTCATTGTCTACCTAACTGAACAATGGAGAAATTAAATCCGAAATGGAAAATTTGATCAGACCCAGACAATTAGCCACCCTATTATCTAACAATACATACACAAAAAAAGGTTGTGCTAATCCATATAAGAAGAAATAGAAAAAGAGACAAGAGAAAACACTGCCAGGCCATAAAGAAAATCTAGGGAAAATGTACTATTTACTAAATCTTCCTTAAAAGCAAACAAACAAACAAACAAAAAACCCACAAATAAATATTTGATTGAACATTGAATAAGACCAAAAGTGTTTACACGGCTGTACCTGTCTGTATTTCTTTTATGTTAGGAGTGCTGTCTTTAAAACCTTCTTTCTCTGTGCGAATTGAAAAAGTGTACACTGTAGCAGGCTCCAGGTTAGAGAATGTTGCTGCTTCTTGCACTACCTTCTGAACCTAGCAACCCAAAACAATACATTTGCAAGTTTTCATGTAAGAAGGGCTCTATAATCTAAATAAGCAAAAAAACTTGGGGGTTATTTAATTTCACTACTATCCAATATAAGAATGCAGTAATATTGAATTCAGCATGAAAGATTCAAGTTTAATTCCTCCAAGAGCCTTTTATAACGTACCATGAAAATGTCAGCACAGTTTATGCATGTGATTTCATAATGCTGAAAATTCCCATCAGCTCGATTCCAGAGAATTTCTATGGAAGAGTCTGTAACTTTGCCCTCATGGATAATTGATGGTGCCTCCAAACCTACCAAATACACAAAACACACTTAAATTCTTCTTGGATGTTTTCTAACTGGGTTTTTCTTTTAATTTATCCCTTTAAGGGGCGCAGGGGGATAGGGAAGCACAATGTGAAAAAAGAAGAGTAAAGTTTATTAATCAACTATCTCTATATACTAATTAAAAATAGTTGTTTACACATACAATGACAGTTTATAAAATATGATAATCAGTCGCAATACTCAGAGTCATTGAAATACCATTACAGGCAGCTAATTTTGATGTTGCAGCAAAACTACATTCAAAAGAGAAAGAAGAGATTAAAGCTTTCTGAAACTATTAGCATAAGCTGAAAAGACAACAGAGAGAAAAATATGAAGTCTAGACAAAGTAAAATAATCCTCTTTGTATCAAATATTGGCTGAACCTAGAAACAAATTTTTATCTGCAGAGTTTTTAATGGTTATTTTTCTAATTTAAAGGATCCTATTTAGCATAAAGGCAAAAATTATTGCAAAAAAACTGACAGTTTTAAACTATCGTATATATTGATATATTTTACTGCTTGATATCACAATATTGACATTTTTAGATAATCAAGCCTAATTATTTTCAAAGACAAGAATTGTCAAAGAGAATGCTACCCATGAGCTTTATAATATAAGGAAGAGAGGCAGAGAATACATATATGAAAAGTATATAAAAATTACAAGCAAAAATAAAATATGTACTGAGCTAATTATAAATATGTTAAAATACTATTGAAAAATGTGACTTGTGACATCAGTTTGGGAGTATTTTATGGAAAATTTAAGTTTAAACAGTTGTGGAAGGATTATAATTTGGGAGAAAGAAGAAACTTGGTAGTATAATGATATATGCGAAAAAATTTATAAACAGAAAAAGCAAATCATAAAGCACCTGGACATGGTATAGTCAAAATTGTAATGTTTTTAAAAGTCCATGTGATATTTGTATGCCATTTATTATTCTGTACCATTTATTTCTGCACATACTAGATGAATATCTTAGATAAATTACATATATCCTAAATGTCAAAATCAAGATTTATAGAATTTTTGAGTGACTTAAAAAAAGATGAGTCTAAATCAATATGAACCTCATAACGTAAGTATTGGTATGAATAAATGTAATACGTTTTCACTGTAAATATTCAGAGGTAGGGAAAATATGCATTAGTTCATTCCAGACGAATGGCAGCACAAGGGAGACCAAACACACTTGATGTTGACCTCTGAGAGACACTTTCAAAAAATGTAACCTAGTCCTCACAATCTGCTTAAAATTACTCACATTCCTCACTTTTGGATTCAGCCATTGAAAGTTCTGATTACAAGCACATTTTTGATAATGGGTAGATTAAAAATTTTATGACCTCAATTTTATGCAAGGTTAACTCTAGGCAATAAAAGATCGGGATCAGTAATGAGGTGTTTGCAATTATTTTAAAAGATCTTTAAAAACTATTGCATTACCGTGAGCATAGCCTACTATTTAAAATGGTACACAAACCAAAATCGAGATAAAGCTTATGCAAGTCCTAAAATACTTACATGTTTTTACTGCAGGCACATAATATACATCACTTAATTTAGTCCCACTGATGATGGAAACAAAGAAATTATATTCTGTGCCTGGGGTTAAGTTGTCAACGGTTATTTTATTGTCATGTTTTAAAGGCCTGGTTACATTTGGCCCTCCTTCAGTTACAATCTGTATGCCATCAAACACTCCAATATCAGGTGTTTGAACAAATAAGATTACAGAGGTACTATAACTTTCATAAGGAATAACAATTTGTACTGGTTTGGGCTCTGAAAGGTAAAAAGAGAGATTTATAATTAGTAGGTTTCTTCAAATTTTCAAGTATATTTCTCTGTATTTTGTCTGGCATGTCCTAGAATATGTAAAAATATCAAATGTCTATGCATTAGACTTGTTTCCTATGTCAGCATTAGACAGAGAAACAAGGTGGATCTTTTGATAGACTCTATGTACAAGTATACTGGAAGTACATAATTAACTTTTACCTTTTGATTTGCAGTAATAGTACCAAAAACATAATTAGAGATTTTGCAAGTGGTTATCTTTCTTACTTATTTATTAAGTGATACTTCTGAGAACCTATATACTACAACGAGTACTCAAATAAAATAAATAAGGCCAGGTTTCTGCATTCAAAGAGTTCCCAATCTCAGAAGTAGATGCACATATCACTAACTAGAAACCCAAGTGGTCGAAGTGTTACTGACGTCGGGTAGAAATAGAGAGGAAACCTCAGGGAAATTCCCAGACAGATTTTATTAAGCTTATGCTTGAGCACAAGGAAGGCAGCACAGAGGAAAGGCCTGTGAACTGGCTGGGGGCTGGCTCTGCTTGGCTGCTTTTATAAGCTGGAAAGAAGGCAGGATTGTGTGGGGGGAAAAAATTGGCTTTTTAGACAAAAGCAGGCTTGCGGAATTTTCCATTTCAGCATCAGGTGACTTCCCTTTGCAGCTGCGTTGCCTCCTAACTATGTTCTCACCATGCTGTGAGGGTAAGGTGATGGACAACTCATCATCACCACCCCAGTTAGAAAGGAGATGAAGTCAGCTACCTCTGTTTTTGAGTAGGGAGTGGAGCGGTGGTAACTTTCTTGACTCCAGTTTATCTGGCATTCCTTCTGGCCATCTGGTCTTAGCTTGGCTTCCTGACCACCCGTATTCTCTCTCTCCCGGGGCCCAAGTCCCTATCGTGTGTCAAGAGCTGAGCTGATGACATGAACAAAAAGCTGTTGAGAGGAGAGGAAGAAATATCAATTTTAGCAGAGATAATTGGGGAAGGCTTTCCAGAATCAGTGAGATTTTATCTGAGCCTTAAAGGATAGTACAAGTTTACCAGAAAAAGTGTGTGTGAAGGGGCAGAAGTAGAAAGGAAATCCCAGGCAAAGAGAAAACATGAGCCCCGTGTGGAAACCCAAAAGGCATCATCATGTGTTGGGAGTGTCCAGTTCTTTCTGCTCTCTATTAGCAGAGCATCTTGGCAAGTTACTTCGTCCCTCTGTGGTTTGGTGTCCTCATCCCTAAAACGGGAAGGAGACTGGTATCTACTTTGCAGGGTCATTGTGATGATTAAATGAGAGGCTGTATTTATAGATTAAGTGCTTAGAGCTGTGCAGACACACGCTTAAGCTGGTGAAAGCATGCGGTGTGTGAGAGGAGAGGGGACAAGGCATGGGAGGGCCACTTCTGTGGCCGGACACTGTCTGTGAGAGGCTTCGCATACCAGGCCACAGATGTCAGTCAGTATCCTGCAGGCACGGGGATTTGAGCAGACATTTCATTTCATTTTTAGGAACACAGTTCTGGCACCTGCCTGGAGGACATTTTACACTCTCCCTGACCTCTATTAAATAGCTTTCTTTCACCTCAGCCTCCCACTGTGCTATTTAGAGCAGATTTGAAATTTCACACAAATTCTATTCACATTATTTTTCCTCAAGTCAATTTTAATCTCAATTCTATCTGTGGATTATTGGGATAACATCCGGTATATCCCTAGATTTGTCCCAAGTAGATATCTTCTGAAATATCTATTCTGAAAAAACGTCCTTTTGTCCTCCACAGAATTAGATGGCCTTTTCAGTTCTATTGGTGACATCTGGTTTCAGGCAATGGAAATTATTCTAAGTCACTGTTAAATATTCAATAATGAGATTCTGCTACTTCACATAGAACCAGTAATGTGTAAAAGTATTTAGGCACATACCTATAATTAGCATTCCAGAGCACTGAAATCTGTGCAATATCCATCAACTTATTCAGCTGGAACATATAAATTTCTTGCCTCTTCTATTCTTGGGGTTATGAGAAAATATTCAATACACTAAACATAAAAAAATTTTCATATGGTATACTACTGGGTTTCAAGGCGCTTTTATACATGGTTTTTCTTTTCCAGCTATATTATCTTAACTTTTCCCTTTTGGTCCATAACTAATTTTTTTTGTAGATTTCCTCTTTACATTCCTTCCAGTTCTCTTCAGTTGCAACTCCTATAGTGTAAATATGGCTAGGATGACATCCCACAAGTATCCAATCCATCTGAATCCGTGGGCCATGATCTGTGAAAGCTTCTAAATGTGCCTTGAGCAGGAATTAATAATCTGGGATTAGAAATGAGTGACCAGTGTAGTCATGGAAACAATTCATTTCCATTTTCCTGAGTGCCAAAGACATTTTCTAAGGAGAGACAGAGCTTTAAATAGGCATTGTCTAGTTTAAGTTCTAAAGATATATTGAGTCTGGCCAGTGTGGCTCAGTGGTTGAGCATTGACCCATGAACCAGGATTCCTGATCAGGGCATATGCCTGAGTTATGGGCTCAATTCCCAGTAGGGGGTCTACATGAGGCAACCAATCAATGAGTATCTCTCATCATTGATGTTTCTATTCCTGTCTTCCTCTCCCATCCTCTCCCATCCTCTCCCTGAAATCAATTTAAACAAACAACAAATAAAATAAAATAAAATAAATAAAATAAAATAAAATAAAATAAAAGGTTTTCTTAATATCGACTTTTTTATTTTTCAGATAAATTCAGTGTAGGTGCATCTTAGATAAATAAATAATTTTACATAACATGTATACATTAAAAAATAAATGTATTTTTCATCATCATATACTGTGTTTTTGTCGCTCGAATGAATTTTATTATTTCTTCAAGGTTCTTCACATACGTACACAGTAAGAGATATCAAGTAGGTGTAACATGTTCTCAAAAAATTAGGGTTGGCACGCAGAAGAAATTTGAGTCAGAGATTTTGCTGGTTTTGGCACGCACTCACAAAAAGGTTGCCCACCCCTGGTATATAGAGTCAGTGACATTCCCTCCAGTCGGAAAATGTGGGATTTTCCATCAGTTTCAGTTGCCCAGGGAAATGGAGCCAATGGCCTCACTGAGTGACACATTACACCTGAGGGCTCACCAAGGCTGGAAATGTGTAGAACAGGGCAAAGTTCTTCCTTCTCTTCAAAATTCTATCCTGAACCTCTGCAAGCTCAAGCTGGATAAGATTTCACTTAAAAAAAAAGATATATATTGACATAATCTGGGCATTTGTGATGGGTCTCCACCACTATTACTGTGACCTCAATCCTTACCCATTTTACTTCAAAAGCTCTTTCAGAAGAAGAGGTAGCACTGGGGGCTGTGTGAGGTTTATTTTAATATGAGAGAAAATTAACTAGGCCAAATCAAAGGCTATTATTACAGACAAGGTAGAATTGGGTCTCAGGGACACGCAACTATCTTAAAATTTATTTTTCTATACCAAGAGGTAAAAAGAAAACACAAACACCAGCTCTCCTATAGCTCTCGTTGCCTCAAGAAAACTGGGTATAGTGCATTCCTCCAACAAGGAGGGACTGCATGGAAAGCTGGAACAGTTTTTCTTCCCACTAAGGACGGCCACAGCTCCTCAATGCCACACTCCACTCCTCCTGAAAAATACAACCCACCACAACAAATACCCCCCTAGTGCGTGCTTCATGTCTGAGCCCTTAAATTATATTAACTTCATAAATTAGATACGATTCTTATCTTTCTCATTTTAGAGAGAAGGAAACTGAGGACCAAAAAGTTTGAATGACTTCCCCAAGGATGTAGACTGGTAATTGTGGAGCTGGATTTCTAACCCAGGCAATCCAGTTCCAAGTCTGTGCTGGTAAGACTGCCTTTTCCCAAAGGGCATATTTATGTTTCAAGGTCCATAATAATAAATGGAAATCAAGCTTTGCTCGTTTTTTTCAGAATAATAGAGAGAGAGAGAGAGAGAGAGAGAGGGAGAGAGAGAGAGAGAGAAAATAACCCTTTATGCTTGATTGCCTCAAAGTGTATAGAAGAGAGTAAAACAAGACATAGTAAATAATAGTTATCAACTAATACTAGTTGAATAAATGCATGGAAAGCATTAATTCTACCTATGCACCTTGGAATAGGTTAATATTTATTTTATCTTCTTGAGACAAGTACAAATGATGAATGATAAATAATCTGATGATTATGAAGCTTAAGAACTGAATAGATAGGCCAATAGGATTATAAGAAATAGTAGAACACTCAAACTAGAGATAATTCACCAGAAGGAAAGAAACCATAGGATCCCAGGGAACTGAATAGATAGGCCAATAGGATTATAAGAAATAGATAATTCAGCAGAAGGAAAGAAACCATAGGATCCTAGGCCTGTTTGGCTCAGTGGATAGAGTGTTGACCTGTGGACTGAAGAGTCCCGGGTTCGATTCCAGTCAAGGGCACATGCCTGGGTTGCGGGCTCGATCCCCAATTAGGAGTGTGCAGGAGGCAGCTGATCAATGATTCTCATCATTGATGTTTCTATCTCTCCCTCTTCCTTCCTCTCTAAAATTAATAAAAAGATATTTTTTTAAAAAGAAACCATAGGAACCAGGAGTACATAACAGCTGTTCCCAAACATTTGATGATCTTTCATGTGAATCTGGGAGTAGATTTGCTCTGTGATGCCCTGGAGAACAGATGTGACCCCACCATACAGGACAATTATAGTCATGAATTACAAAATGATCAGGCACTACACTGGGAACTGTATATCAGATTGGCAAGAAGATCTCTGTCCTACCTTCAAACACCAACATTCTATTATTCTTCCTAAAATTTATAGATGTTAATCCATGTTTCAGCTTCCATGTCGGATAGCAGTTTTACAAATAATGCTCAAATTAAACAAAATCAAGAACTGTGCTTATGCCTGAAGCTACAGAGCTAAAAACTTTATGAAATAGATCACTATCTAGAAAATGTGGCAAAAATTTTATATTTTAGATGGAAGGCTGGTTAAACTATGCTAATTTCCATAGAATCAAAAAAAGAATATGACTTTAGAGCTGGAAGCCAATTTTAAAATGTATTCAATGACCTAATTTTTTTTTAGAATGAAAACTTAAGCACTGAAACAATATGGAAACACTCTATCCTCATACTTCTGATAATGGTAGATCTAAGACTAGAGTTCATGTCCCATCTATGCAGTTTAATCTTAGTACTTCCATTCAGCCAATAAATCCTAGGCATGAAATAACTGCTTTCAACCATATCTCTTTCTTAGTATTCGTTATCATAACTTTCTTATGATAATTAACTTTAGGTAGATTTTCTCAGAAATTAAAGAAAAAGTCATACATGAATTTAGTCTTAGTCTTTGGAAGATAAAACAGGGAGATTCAATGTTGGTTGAGTGTAGACACTGCTGGTACATAATTTTTTGAACCAATTCACTTTTCCACCAGGCTGCCCTTACTGATAGCCAAAAGGCCCGTGAGGTCCCTACCTCAGAGTCACCACTATCCACCCAAATTACTCATGTCAAAACCCTAAGTATCTCTCTTCCTTTATTCACCACAAGCACTCCAGCATCAAAGCCTGGGCCACCTACTTCCATAATATGAAATCTACCTGTCCTTCCCCAACTTGTCCACAGTAATCTTTTGTCTACACTCTCCAACCTCTTACACCATTTCCTTGCCTTTTACATATCATTCTTTGCACACAGCCACAGGTAAATGTTTGTAACATAGGTCACACTGTCACTCTCCTGCATAAAACTCTCAATGGCTTCCCATCACCTCAGAATTAACTCAAAAGCATATGCTATATGATCTGACCTCTGAATACCTCTCCAATGTCATTTCTCAACACCTTTCTCCCTATCCATTAGACACCACACATTGTGGCCTTGTTGTTTTTAGATGTACCAAAGTTCTTCCTGTTTCACATCCTTTGTGCTAGCTGTGTGTACCTCAAGTGCCCTTCCTCCATCTAATTCCACTCTGGCTCCTCCTTTACATATCCATTCAAATGTAACTCCTTCTATTACAGCCTGTTTACAATAGAACCCTCCATCCCTCTTCAATTATTCTCCATTACATCACTTTGCATTTTCCTCTCCTAATGTTTATCATAATATAAATATGTATAAATATTATTTAATCATATATTTTCTTTTTACTTTTTAACTGTCTTTCCTTAATAGATTTTTTCAATGATTACTAATTTAGTAAACTTATTTAAGAAAGGACATAGCCAAAACTGGTTTGGCTCAGTGGATAGAGCGTTGGCCTGCGGACCGAAAGGTCCCAGGTTCGATTCCGGTCAAGGGCATGTACCTGGATTGCGGGCACATCCCCAGTGGGAGATGTGCAGGAGGCAGCTGATCGATGTTTCTCTCTCATCGATGTTTCTAACTCTCTATCTCTCTCCCTTCCTCTCTGTAAAAAATCAATAAAATATATTTTTTTTAAAAAAGGACATAAAAATTATTGTTGGCTTAATCCTAAACCTTTTATATACTGTCAATATTTCCTTCCAGTGTGCTACTGTATATCTGTTGATAATAATTGTAAACACTTACATAGCTATGTGTCAGGCACTGTTCTAAGCCCTTACATTTACTACATCAGCTATTCTCAGGAAATCCCATTATTTCTCTTGTTTTATAAGTATCAAAATTGAGGCATTTACAGGTTGAGTAAATGCCTCAAATTCTATACTTGCCCAGGGTTATTCAAAGAGTTGAACTGAGATTCAAGCCTAGATAGTATGGCATTAGGACCAGGTTCTTAATCATAAACAACCGTAAACAATGCTGCCTTATACAAGCAGGGAGCATTGTCAGAATGAAAGGAATAAAAATGACTCCAGCCGTGACTGGTTTGGCTCAGTGGATAGAGCGTCGGCCTGCAGACTCAAGGGTCCCAGGTTCAATTCCAGTCAAGGGCATGTACCTTGGTTGTGGGCACATACCCAGTGAGGAGTGTACAGGAGGCAACTGATAGATGTTCCTCTCTCATCGATATTTCTAGCTCTTTATCCCTATCCCTTCCTCTCTGTAAAAAATCAATAAAATATATTTAAAAAATGACTCTAGTTCCTGAGGCTACCATTAGACAAAGCACACTAAAAATCTACTTAAAACCTGCTACCAGAGGGGTCTATAGAGAATATTTTATAGTACCGCAAGATCAGCAAATATCTGTTAAGGATATAATGATCATCATAATTGGTTAGAGAGCAACCAAAGGACTTGTATGCATGCATACTAGCATAACCAATGGACACAGACACTGGGGCGGTGGGGGCTTGCCTGGGGTGGGAATGGCTGGAGTTGGGGGGAGGGGTCAAGCGGGGAAAAAGGAGACATGTAAAATTTTAGACATTGAATAAATAAAAATAAAATAAATATTTAAAAAGTTTAAAGAATAAAACAAAGCAATAATTAAGGTCTTCTATAGGTCAGGCTTTGTGTGTATGTATCAGGCTTTACTTTAAGTAAACTAGCATACCTTAAATAAAGCTACCTGCCTCTATATGAAATTAAAAAAAAGAATAAATGACAAGTATTTGGTTCTCACTTAGAGTTTGTTGAATAGTTACCAGCTCACTCAAATTCCCATTCATCACTGTTGCCATTCCAATGTCATAAGTCATTCCAGGGATTAAATTATCAATCTTGAATCTATTAGCATCCTTTACAAAAAAAGTCATGACTTCTCTTTTATCTGGTATGGATTTGATTTGAATGTAGACCTCATGGCCATCTTGTGTGGATTCCCACTGAAGAATTATACTGTCCTCCCCCACGTCATCAGGTTTAGCATAAACTTTCTGTGGTGGATTTACACCTTAGAGAAACAGAGAAATAGATACACATATCTTAGTTTACTGTTAGCAGCACTCAGTTCAATATTAATTAGTATTTAAAGTAATTTAAACAAATCCTATATCACCATATCTTAAAAAATAACTGACTTTTAAAGAAAAATGTATTTCGCTATTACTATGTAAGATTTACTAATTATGATTAAGCTCAAACATTACACATCAAGGGAAAGTAGACAGTACTTTGTAAATTCTTCAGATTTTTAAGAGTTTTATTGAAATTATTCAGTCTTTTATCAAATATACATAGGCACCTACTAAGTACCAGGCATTCTCCTAGCACGTAGAGCACATCAATAAAAAATAATCAAGGTTATACAGAAGCTCTTATAAATAAATAGCTAATAAATGCTTTTAATGGTGACAATGAAAATTGAGATCTGCAATTAATTCTGTAGGGGAAGCAACATAGTATCTTGGCACAGTCCCCAAAATAAGAAGGAATTGGGATCTCCTGCTCAACCCATCATGACTGAGGTGTGGTTTCTTCCTTGTGCCCAAGTTCCACCAGATTCCATTGCCATGGAATGAGCCGAGGCAAAGGGCTTATGGGAGAGTAGGCTGAGGATGAAATATGTAATAAAGAGCATGGACTCTGGAGTCCTGTAGGCATGGGTTCAACTTATCAGCCTGTGACCTTCAAGATAAAAATAACTTTTAAAAAAGGAAATAAGAGGGTTTTTTGACCTTGGAAGTTTGAGTTCTCTAAGTCATTGTTTTCTAAGGTCCACAGGATTTTATAACACTTTCATCATCTATAAAATAAAAAGAATAGTAGTACCTAACTTGAAGAGTTGTTATAAGGATTGAGAATGAGAATTTGTTAAAAGTGAGCATTCTGCTTGATTTATATATATATTATATATATATAATGTATACATTATATAATACTTTAGGTATGATAAGTGCTAAATAAAAAAGATAAGGAAACCCCGGTTAGGGAGATCATGAGTGTGGTGATTATGGAAAAAAACTGAGATATTACATAGGGAATTCAGTGCAGGTGTCTTTGAAAAGATGAGATTTTTTAGCAAAACACTTGAAGGAGGCAAAGGAGTTAAAGTTAGACACACAGATTTCTGGAAGAAGAGAATTCCAGACAGAAAAAAAAAAAAACAGCTAATGTAAAATCCCTATGATAGGAGTTTACCAGGCATCTTCCAACACAGAAAGAACACCAGAGTGAATGGAGAGTAGTGTGAAAGGATGAGGCCAGGGGTTCACAGGGAGCCAGGCCCTGCAAGGCTTCACAGGCTTTCACTTTGAATAAAACAGGTAGCAACTACAGGGTTAAATGCAGAGGCATAACCTTTCCTAAATTTTCAAGAATCACTTGGCTGTTTATATCAATAATAGACTATGGAGAGAGCCAATGGTAGACACAGGGGAGCAAGGCCAGTCATCTATGTGAGAGAGTGGTGGCCTGGTTGACTATAGCCCTAAGTGGGGACAAGTGGTGGGATTCTGGGTTTCTTTAAAGAGAGAACCATCCCTGGCTAGTTTGGCTCAGTGGAGAGAGTGTCAGCCTGAGGACTGAAGGGTCCCAGGTTTGATTCCAGTCAAGGACACATGTCCGGGTTTCGGGCTCAACCCCCAGTGGGGGGAGTGCAGGAGGCAGCCGATCAATGATTCTCTGTCATCATTGATATTTCTATCTCTCTCTTCCTCTCTGAAATCAATAAAAATATACTTTAAAAAAAAAAGAGAGAGAGAACCAGCAGGATTTCCTTACAGATTGGGTGTAGGCTGTGAAAGAAATGCAAGGGTTAACAACGCCTTGAAGGTTTTGACCTAAACAATTGGATGAATGAAACTATGTGGAAAGGGCTATGGGTAAAGCAGATTTGGGTAGGAACATCTGCAGTTCAGCTTTGGACATATTCCATTTTAGATGTCTCTTAGATTGCCAAATGAGATATATTGAGTAGGCAGTTAGATATTTAAGTCTAGATTTCAGGAGAATGGTCTGAGCAAGAGATATAAATTTAGGCATATTAACATGTAGATGGTTTTTAGAACTTTGGGACTAGTATTTATCATAAAGATAGCTGCAACTTTAAATTATATTAACTTTCTAATTTCTGAAAGGTATGACACATTTAGAAATAAAGAGAAAATTATTGTGTTTATAATTCATTTAGAACATAATCGAAGAAAATTTCCTTGATACTCTATTACAATAACCAAAGAAAATACTTAGACTTATCTCCTTACACAATTTATTTGAATATCAAGCCTTGTGGTTTTTACTACTATATAACACTCTGGAATTTGTAATGCCTTCCTTTTAGACTTAATTCTTTGTCCTATGCTATAAACTTTACCTGAACTTTTAATAGTTCCCAAGCACAATAATAAATCATTAGTTCATTACGATAAAGATGAATATGGAATTTTAAGTTGTTCAGTAGTTTTACTTTAAATAATCTTTAAAGAATTTATTATGATTTTCATAATTATTTTATTTGAAGAAACTATAATTTGATTTTTAATCTGTTCTGAAGTTTAATTCCTTATCAACATAATTAAACACCCTTTTGAATTTTTCAGGAAAGTATCATTCTCAACTAAACCCAGTCTATTCATCCCATACTTTAATTCCACAAAATCATAGTTGGACTGACTTGGTGTTGAAACTGATCGTTTATGTAAAATTATCAGAAAATACCAGCATAATCCAATTATAAAAACTATTCACAGGTCTCCGGGGTGAAACAACTTCAGATCTTTGTTCTTATGTACTTGCAAACCGTATCCATACTTTTATTAGTATAGGTAATATACTAATTAGATAAGGTAATATATTATCTAATATATTAATTAGATAAGGTAAAATCCTGCTGGTTCTCTCTCTTTTTTTTATTAGATAAGGTAATATACTAATTAGACTGGATGTCTTCCGGACGACCTTCTGGACGTCCTTCCGGACAAAGTCATGGTGGCGAGGCTGAGGCTGAGACGGTTAGGAGCGATCAGGCCAACAGGGGAGAGCAATTAGGGGGATCAGACCAGCAGGGGAGAGCAGTTAGGGGCACCAAGTCGGCAGGGAAGAGCAATTAGGGGGATCAGGCCGGCAGGGGAGAGCAGTTACGGGGATCAGGCCAGCAGGCAGGTGAGCAGTTAGGAGCCAGCAGTCCCAGATTGCGAGAGGGATGTCCAACTGCCTGATTTGCCCCAATTGGGATCAGGCCTAAACCAGCAGTTGGATATCCCCCGACGGGTCCTGGATTGGAGCGGGTGCAGGCCGGGCTGAGGGACCGCCCCCCCCCCTTGTGCACAAATTTTGTGCACCGGGCCTCTAGTAGCTATTATAAACATTTACTCCAGTGGAGGACTGAGATGAAATCTACTGAATGCCACACACAAGCAGAGATTGAGGGAACAACTACTTGGTAAGTCTATGGCAGCCCTGTAAGCACAGAATTCTCTCTGCATTTTCATGGGAGAGGGTCCATTCATTTTTCCATTCTCAAAAGGCTCCATGCCCCAAAGAAGTTAAATTTTACTGAATAAAAAAATACTCCTTCTTAGGTATCAAGGCTCTTCATGTTATGTGTCTAGTTTACTTACATTTTCTAGACTCTATTTACATGACCCTCTGTACTCCAGCCATGCCAATCTACTTTCAATGTTCGGTGTTCAAGTGTTGGTCTCTTCAAAAACCCTTCTCTGGCCAGGCCACAGTGGCTCAGTGCTTAAGCATTGGTCTAAGAACCAGGATGTCACCTGTTTGATTCCCAGTCAGGGCACATGCCTGGGTTGTGGGCTCAATCCCCAGTAGGGGGCGTGCAGGAAGCAGCTGATCAAAAATTCTCTTTCATCATTGATGTTTCTATTTTTCTTTTCCTCTCCCTTCCTCTCTCTGAAATTAATTTAAAATAATTTTTTAAAGCCTTCTCTGGCTTTCCCAGGTATGGCTAGACAGATGCCTCTTCTTTGGCCCTCTCTGTGTATGTACATCTATTTGGTCCTCTTGCAACATTCTGCTGCCTCCTCACTCCCACCTGGTGCACTCCTTCTGTTCCTTTATGACTCAGAGCACCACTCCTCCACAGGGAGACTTCTGTAACCATCCCTACTTCCCAAGTCTGGGCTAACTGATCCCTCTCTTCACTTCCACAGTATCCAGAGCATTCCCCTATAATAGCAATTATAACTCAGCATTACCACTTTTTTAAAATGTATTCATCTTGCTCCATTAGTGGAAGGCAGAGACCAGGTCTAATTCACGTTTGCGTCTCTAGTATCGATTGCAGTTCCAGATACTAAAAAATAATTTGTTGAGTAAATAATAAATGAAAATGAAAAAATATGGCCTTAACCTCAGGGGAGTAAAAAAGCACTGGGTTACTAAATTCTGGACATGTACTGCTGTGTCAGCTTACAGTTAATATACATAGCAAATGACCCAAAATTAAGCATGCAGGCCCAGCTGGTGTGGCTCAGTGGTTGAGCATTGACCTATGGACCAGGAGGTCACTGTTTGATTCCCGGTCAGGCACATGCCCGGGTTGCAGTCTCAGTCCCCAGTGTGGGGCTGATGATCAATGATTCTCTCTCATCATTGATGTTTCTACCTCTCTCTCCCTCTCCGAAATCTATCTATCTAACTACCTATCTATCTATCTATATTTAAAAAACAAGTAAATAAACATGCAGACTCCCTCTAGTAAATAAATAGGTATGTACCACAGGAGATCTATCTATCTATCTATCTATCTATCTATATTTAAAAAAACAAGTAAATAAACATGCAGACTCCCTGTAGTAAATAAATAGGTATGTACCACAGGATATTTTAATATGACTTCAGAATTAATGTATCTCTGAGAAATCCTCCAAGTCTGCCTGTCAGTTAAAAATGAAACTATCTTCTTAAAGTGTAAGGAACTCAGCTAAGCATTTATCAAATGAAGGAGGCTTTGTCTGAGCTCAGAGGAGAAAAACATCTGATATCTAGTATCCAATTGGAAAAATTCTCTTGGTTAGGATTTGCAACACTGAATACATGTATGTTAAGCATTTGCAATTTCATAAACGTTAAATAATATATTTTCTTATTATTATTTTCAAAGACTACCAAGTATTTCCACAAGTATGAGAAGGCTAATTCATCTATGGCTGTGAACATGTAGGTTTTCCACCTCAGCTCTAATATGTTTACATTTTAATGGTGAAATTTCAAAGAACTTTGCATGAAGGCATGTTAAATACACACACGCACGAATACACACATTACATGCAAAGGGATAGGTGTTTAGCTATGCAGTTTCATACAATAGTGTTTTATCTTTTAAAAAAGAGTGACTTATACTTAAAGAGGTCAATAGAATGCTTAAATAAGATAAATTATTATGTTCTAGACAAGGATTCAAAAAACTGTCATGTGGAGGTGAATAGAGATTAGAAATGCATTGGCTAAAAGTCCTGAGATGAAACTGCCCCCTAGCGGTCAAATAATCACACTGAGTAAGAAAATGAATGAAGTAAAACTGATTAAATGTGCAGACCTTCATATTTGTTGGATCTAGTGTTATTAAAGAGAACTGGGTGAACTAATCTTCATATTTTATGATAATTTATTTTCTGGCCACGGCTGTGATAAAGATGTCTTCTAGGAACTCTGGTTGAAACAATGATGATGTTTAAATCTAACTTTAAACATCTAAATTTAGTTATTTAGAATCTATGCTTAAAATTGTGATCCAACATTCAAACGAATATTCAACTGTAAGTATTTCTACCTATATAGGATCAACACAATTAAATTTCATCAAAACAATAGTTCAATATATTCAGTTTATATATGATTTATTAAAAGGAAAAATATGCCCACACTTACCTGTAATGGCTGAAATAGGTTGCTCAAAGCAGCTTAAAGTTCCTCGTTCTGCTACACTAAATAGATATATCAAATAATGGTGGAAAGATTTGAGACCTCTAATTGCTGTTGATATGTTGAGTTTTTCAACAAACACCTCTTCTGATTTATTATCTTGAACATCCAAAGTAGTTACAAGATAATGGTGAAAAGACTCAGGATCTGGAGGATCCCAATGTAAAAATATTTCTGTTGGGGTCACATGAGTAACTGTGACATTTTGGACTGACAACGGGCCTAGGAGATAAAAATACATGCTATTAGTTATATGGGTTGCCAGAATAACCTCTCACTTCTCAATACTTCTATAATACTTTAGTTTAAAGAGAAAGGGAAAACTAAGTTTGAGTCCTGGCTCTTACACTTTCTGGCTCCACTCCCTGAGTAACTTGCCAGCTTTGAACCTCACTTCTCTTGACTATAAAATGGGAATTATAGTAGTAGCTGCCTCGTAAAATTATTGTGAAGATTAAATGAGATAAGGTATCTAAAGCACTTGGCACCGTGTTTGACACACATTATTGTTCAATCGTTATTTTTAATGCAAGCACCACTGAAAGGGCACTCACGGCATTCAGTGATCTCATTTTATGTCTTTTCCCTCTTCTGTCTTGTCAAACTAGAGGGCAGGGACTTCATATTATTCACTCTTTAGTCCCATCATCACCGGAACTTGGCCCTCATCCTCTTACAGAAATATTTCCCCATCGCAAACCATTTCATCCAGTGCCAATGATCTTCCTAGTTAATCCCTACAGATTAATGTTCTTAAAACAGCACCTTGCACATATCAGCCCTAAACCCATATCCGTTCCCTGACCTCCCAACATACACATTCTTCTTGATTCTTTCTTTAGAAGCAATATCTCAAGAGTTAAAATTAAACCACCTGGTTTCCTGTTTGGATCTACTAAGCAAATCATGCTACTCTAGTCAATTTACTTAACCTTTCAGAAGCTCAGTTTTCTCATTTCTACATAGCTACTCCCTGAGTTGAGGTAAGGACTGATAAAATAATGCATTAAGAGTGCTTTGTGGAAGGTAAGGTGAGTCTTAAAATACTATAGACTTAACTGATAACCATCGCTTCTAAGGTTAAGTCTAACCATCTGAGACAGAGACCTCTAGCACTCCCAAATCTTTTACCACCTACCTCTCAAACTGATTTGACCCTCATGCTCAAGAAAATCTTCCCAGTCTGCATTACTCTTCTCCTACAAATTCTTATCTCCATATATTTGCTCATATGTGTTTTTTCCCCTCAAGTTTGAGCCCATGCCTCTCCTTTCCACAAGTCTGCCACTATCAACCACCCTCTGAATTCTAAAAAGCATTTATTAAATGCACCACTGAGTGGGAATTTAAGTTAGGTTTTGCTATATAGTTTTGTTGCATTTCCTTTTATTTCTCACTAATTATCTCCATTGTAACCCTCTTACAGTCCAGACACACATCTGTTTATCTTTTGCTATTAGCAAATATCAAAAATCCATTTCCACAGAAATTTATTATCTACTATGGCCTGGACTATAATGTAGCTGGTGCCATAAGATATAGTTCCTCATAGGTTAATAGTTTAACAGGAAAGCCAAACATATAAACATAGTAATTATAACTTAAAATTGGTAAAGTTGCACGTGTACCTAAAGTGTTAAGAGAAAATACCAGACCTTCAGGAAATATTTACAAATGATGACATTAAATACTTGAAAAATTATAACTTCAGATGTCTTGTAACTTACGTGTTTCAACAATGAATACTGGACTTAGCATAGTTTTAGCCTCCCATTCATTTAGTGCAAAGAGTAAAAAGCTGTACACATGGCCAGGAGACAGAAGGGTAATTGCTTTTTCTGTAGTATTTGGGGGTATGCTCTCAAAATATTGTTCTGCATAATCTAAATAATATTTTATGATAATTTTATATCCTAATTTTAGCCACTTATTCAAATTATTCCAACCATTCAAATTATCCAAGCTAAATACAACTTCAGTTGTTCCAACATCCTTTATATAGATCAAAAGATTTTCCTGCAGAGAAGGTGCTGAAAGAAATATAAAAAAGAATCATTTTAATTACAAATTATAATTCTATTTTAAAAATAATAAAGTGGTGAGATGCATAAATATAATACTAATAATTACATTCATATTTGCAAATATATGGCAATGGAACATAACAGAAAAATCTTGCAAAAAAATAGTTTGATCCAGTTGCATTTTGTTGTAAAATGTAGCAATCTGTTTCATTCTTGGGTAGCAGTGGGAAAGAAAAGATTTCATTTTTCTTAAGGCCAAAAGGTGATCCATCTGTCCATGTGAGATGACCTTCTTTCTGTAATAAGATGTACAAATTAAGCCAATTTAAAGAAGTGTCATATCTTCAAATAAGTGTACTTGGAGATATTTATTAGTTACACCTCTATTATAAAATGTTCTAAGATTATTAAATCATAAACCAGTTTAATATATATTTATGCATAGTTCCTTTATTATGAAGATTCTGAGCTGGGGAGAGAGTTCACTTTCATTCACTCCTTAGCCATATGTATTCAGACCAATTGCTGAATCTCACACTAAGCCTCTATTTTCTCATCTGTTAAATGGGTATAATAATAGAATCTACACATTAAGTTGTTGTGAAGATTAAAGAGGCAGTGCATGAGAATGGCTCAACACAATGCCAGGCAGAGACCCAATATTCATTAGTTGTTATTTTATTTAAAGTCATAAAATAAATCATATGCATCGGGAGTGGTTCTTGATACCTTTCTGCTAAGGGATATCACTGATGGATATCACCAACCTCAATTTTCACAAGCAATGAATATACCTCTAGATAGTCCTGTGGCTACCCTCACTGAAAGGGGTAGTAGGAAAAGTACAAGTTTTGACAGAGATGCACTTGTATTCTAACCAATATTTCTGCCACTATCTATTCTTGGACAACTGCCAACCTCTTAGAAACTAAACTTTTCCACCTGTACAATTGAGATAGTCATAACTACTTTGCATGGATGTCAACAGGTTTAAGACTGTGTATACAAAACACCAGGCATATAATAGGTCCTCATAAAATAAACATAATTCTTAGAAATAATGAACTCTATGGAAACAGAGACTATATCTATATTGTGATTATTATGCCATCCCAGCATCAAGTACAGCTCCAGGCTAGTTGCCCAGATAGGATTAAAGAGAACTACTACCTCCAGATATTCTAAAGACATTTTTTTTAAAGTACATTCCAATTCCACCTAACAGAATGTAGGAATATTGTTTCCTCATGGAGTCTGCTTTATTGCATACATGGTGCTGCAGTTTGGGAAACTTTACAGAGGCTTGAGGGGAATATGTTCCAGTGGTTAAGGCATGAGTACTGGTCAGACAGGCACAGGTTGAAGCCTGGTATGGCCAGTTATTACCTAGGTGACTCAAAAGCTTTCTGAGCTCCACTTTCCTCATCTACACAGTGAGAACAATGATAGTGCCTACCTCATAAGGATGTGGTGAGCACTGAATGAGGGTTACCTATTTAACCCTCACAAAGTAGATTAGAGAGACTAGTACCCTGTCATTCCCTAAGTTCCTGCTGAGTATCAGACCCCAGTGAGGCTAGGAATGCAATGATGAATAAGACAGCCATTCCTTGAAGTTCAGTAACAAACTACCCTTTCAGCGTGGGGGTGAGAGAGATGATTAGTTTCTCATACTTTCACAGGGACTATAGCCCAGCAGGTGGCTTTGATGTCAACCTCAAGAGACCAGCTTAATGGAGAGGTCATTGGTTAATGGACAGTGGTTAAGAGCAAACTCTGATGCGTGTCCATGTGGACAAGTTAATCTACCTGTTCTCCAATTTCTTTACATGTCATACAAGTAAACCACGTCGAATGGTGCTTAGCACTACAGATTAGGATCTCATGGAGAACAGATTTATGTTTGAGTAACAAGATATAATATTAAATAAGTCATCAGGAAGAAAACACAAACTAGACAGAAATCATTGTTTTAGGTCTCAGTTTTTCCTACAAAATGCTGACCCAAATGAAATTTCATGAGATATCCCATCGTGTTAGGAATGTTAGAAAAAAGCCCTGGCCAGTTTGGCTCAGTGGATAGAGCGTCAGCCTGCAGACTGAAGGGTCCTGGGTTCGATTCCGGTCAAGGGTGCATGCCTGGGTTGCGGGCTCGATCCTCAGTGGGGGGTGGGGGGGGCGTGTAGGAGGCAGCAGATCAATGATTCTCATCATTGATGTTTCTATCTCTCCTTCTCCCTTCCTCTTGGTAATCAATAAAAATATATTTTTTTTTAAAAAAAAATATCCTACTCCTAAGTAAAAAACAACAAAACTTAAATTTAAAAAAAAAAAAAGGATGTTGGAGAAAAATGTCACACAACCTTTTGCACGGGTATTGATATCCTACTCCTAAGTAAAAAACAACAAAACTTAAATTAAAAAAAAAGGATGTTGGAGAAAAATGTCACACAATCTTTTTCACCGGTATTGAAAAATCTTCAGATATTTCTGTATCTTTTTTAGTAAAATTAAACTTCATAAACCAGGATATGTGGAGTGAAATAAATAAAATGGAGAAGACTTTCAATGTTTTCAAATTCATATTACTGTATTGCTCACTGAGGTAAGAAATAGAGGATTGTGGGTGGAGGTGAACGAGGTTATGGAAAAATAAATTTTAATTTAATTTAATAACAAAAAAAGAAAAGAAGTGAAGCAGGTTTGGTGGGAAGGAGATGACAAGTCAGCAATGTTGATATGTGTCTGTGGATAATTTCAAAAGGCATAATCAGAAGAAAATTAGATGTCTGGAGCTCATAAGAAGAAAGTGGGCTAGATAAATGTTTGAGGATCATTGGTTTAGGTGATAAATTAGGTAAAGAAATGGATGAGGTCATTCAAATGAATTTAGAGGGGTCTGCAGAGGACCAAAATTAAAGCAAAATTAGGTAAAGAATAGTTGCCTACAAAAGAGATTGAAGGAGGTGGGGGAGGGATGAATATGCAGAGTACAGAGGATCTTTAGAGCAGTGAAAATACTTTGCATGACACCAAAATGATACATGTCATTACTTATTTGTCCAAATGATATATGTCATTACTTATTTGTCCAAATCTATGGAACGTACAACACCAAGAATAAACCATATGTAAACTATGAACTTTGGGTGATAATGATGGATCCATGTAGGTGACTCAGTTGTAACAAATGTGCCACTCTGGGGTTGATAATGGGGAGGCTATGCATTTGTGGAAACAGTGGGAAGTATGGGTAACCTCTGTACCTTCCCCTCAATTTTGCTGTGAAACTGTAACTGCTCTAAAAATGGAGAAACAGAGACAGAGATACTGAAAAAAAAAAGAGAAACAGTGCTTAGCTTATAATAAATACTTAATACATATTTATTGAATAAAGGAATAAATAAATGAATAAAAGAACATGGGGCAAACAGTTTTGTTCATCATGATATTTTCTTATTTTTATATCTACTGACCTTCAAATCATTAAGACCAGTCCATGATATTATTTGATTCTTTGACCTGAGATATGAAAATATAAATTTTTTTTCCTCTTCATTTTTTATATCCACAAGGCGTGCAGAATTTAAGGATAACTTACAATGTTGCTCGGCTATATTCCATGGTTCACTCTCTTTGCTAATTCTGTAACAGCTATTTTTTAATGCTACCCATCCTTGTGAACATGAACCTACCAAAAGAAAAATACTTTATTAAAGATGAATTTAGTAATATAACATTTCAAACTTATATTTTTTAAAAATCTGAAGAAGTGAATCGTGAAAGCTTCACAGTATCCATAGTGCACTTGCCCAACTGTATATTTCTCCCAAACGAATAAAAGTGCTAAAACTGTTATTCAAGTTTTAAATGAATTACTACCAATTAAAGTAATTTTAAGTAGCTGTACAAGTTAATTTTGCAGAATTATTGTCCAATTATAACTTAATTAAAACAAAACCACAGGTGTTTTTACCTTTTTCTAAGTTACTTTAGGTTGACTTCCTACCCCTTACTCTGAATACTGGTAAAAAAAAACTAAGGATATTTTAAGTTCCTTTTTATTTTTGAGAACTAGACATAATGCTTGCTAATTCTGTTCTCTGCCACTTCAAATGGGTTCACCTTCCAGAAAAAAAATGAAATGGCTGCTTAGCTTTTTTCTCCAAGAGTGCATGCCATAGAAAGATCGAGGAAATGTCAGCCTGCTCAGAGTACATGTTGTACTTTGATAATTGCTGATGCTTCATCAGTGCCTCAACCCACGATATTAGGAAGATGTGAGAAGAATTGTTTGAAGAAACTGGTCTTCATTTTTCAGAGGGCAAGGAGCATGGAAAGAGGGAATGCTTTAATTACCTTACTGTCTTTCTTACTATTCAAGTGTTCTTCCACTTCACTTGTAAACATGCACTGTGGTTACATGCATGTTTAATAGAGAGAGTATTAAAATGGGACTCTTAGTCCATCACAGTGAAGGTATTGCTCTCATTAGCTACTTATGACTTGTCTGCTTCTCTTCCGTCTTTTCCCACCATGTGGGGGAAGTGGAACCAGGAAGGCACACACACAAAAAATTGAACACATTCTCTTTCCCCTTGCAATATTCTAAATTGTGGTTGCATTCTATCAGGGATGAGTAATAGAGAAGTTTAAATCAGATTTTAATGAACCTTTAAAGTCACCTAAAAAAACTATGGAATTTGTATGAACCATTACTAAGGTAAAAGAGAGAGAGAACCCACTTGATTCAGTTTAAAAGAGTGGTAGAAGTAAAATAAAGTTGGTTCTTACCTTTACACTGCTAAATGCAGCTTGTTCACTAAATCAGTTAAATACCAAATGATATAATTAGGATATAATTAGGAAAGGGGGACTATGCTAACTCACTTACAAGTAGCTCATAGTGGCTAATACTAGCCTGGGTCACTTTCTTAAAGAACAATATAACTGCCAAGTTATCTACAAAATATATAATATATTGCTTAATAATGAACCAAATATCTCTAAACACCTGTTTCAACTTGAACATCCAGTCTCTGAAGTATATTTACAAAATCCAAATGCAACTGTTTAAATAAAAAAGTAAAAGTATATAAGGTGGCAGGTTTCAAATCATCCCACTCATAAGCCATGACATTATTTTGCATAATTTGTGAAGAATTATTAAGAGATATTGA